CTTGCCCACACTCGACACAGGTATCTTGCCCACACTCGACACAGGTATCTTGCCCACACTCAACACAGGTGATCTTGGCCACACTCAACACAGGTGATCTTGCTCACACTAAACACAGATCTTGCTCACATTCAAAACAGGTGATCTTGCTCGCACTCAAAGGAAAGTGCTGAAATACAATCAGACCATAACTGGTCATTTCAGAATGGGAACTGTGTGCTGGATGTTGAAAATGGAGCCGTGTGCTGGATGTTGAAAATGGGAACCGTGTGCTGGATGTTGAAAATGGGAACTGTGTGCTGGATGTTGAAAATGGGAACTGTGTGCTGGATGTTGAAAATGGGAACAGAATGCTTAAACATATTCAAAGTGCTGTGATGTAGGTTTTTAATGACTTTAATGCCCATTTAAGGGATTTTCTAGCCACTAGATCCATCATCTTCTCCACAGAAGCTCTGACAATGTGTGATGAGAATAAAGACAACACTTTCTGGTCTGGCATAGATTTACTGAGTAGGTGCAGACATTAATATCAGAGTTGTAACACAATTGTAACATCAACCGTGGTAACATTGTCATTGGTAGCCTTTGTGTACACTAAAACATGATGACAAATCTGAGCCAGTCTCCCTTGTACTAAACAAGTACATGCAGTTCTGTGCTCCAGACTCAGACCTGATCTACCATTTATCAACAAGTACATGCAGTTCTGTGCTCCAGACTCAGACCTGATCTACCATTTATGAACAAGTACATGCAGTTCTGTGCTCCAGACTCAGACCTGATCTACCATTTATGAACAAGTACATGCAGTTCTGTGCTCCAGACTCAGACCTGATCTACCATTTATGAACAAGTACATGCAGTTCTGTGCTCCAGACTCAGACCTGATCTACCATTTATGAACAAGTACATGCAGTTCTGTGCTCCAGACTCAGACCTGATCTACCATTTATGAACAAGTACATGCAGTTCTGTGCTCCAGACTCAGACCTGATCTACCATTTGTAATGCAATATGTATTGATCCCACATGTATTCCCAGGTCACTTTAAATTTGTATTCTCAGATCATCTCATTCTCACTTGTATTCTTAGATCATCTCATTCTCACTTGTATTCTTAAAAAATCTCATTCTCACTTGTTTTCTTAGATCATCTTGCTCTCACTTGTATCTTAAATCACCTAATCTTCACTTGTATTCTTAGATCACCTTGCTTTCGCTTGTATCTTAGATCAACTAATCCTCATTTGTACTTTTAAATCACCTTGCTTTAACTTGTATTCTCAAGTCATCTTGATATCACTTGTCTTTCCAGATGAACTTGCTTCTCAGATCCCTTGATTTCCTTTGTATTCTCAAATAACCCTTACCTAGCCAGTGTTCTCAGATCACCCTTCCCTAGCCAGTGTTCTCAGATCACCTTTACCTACCTAAGTGTTCTCAGATCACCCTTACCTAGCCAGTGTTCTCAGATCACCCTTACCTAGCCAGTGTTTTCAGATCACCTTTACCTAGCCAGTGTTCTCAGATCACCTTTACATAGCCAGTGTTCTCAGATCACCTTTACATAGCCAGTGTTCTCAGATCACCTTTACCTAGCTAGTGTTCTCAGATCACTTTTACCAAGCCAATGTTCTCAGATCACCTTTACCTAGCCAATGTTCCCAGATCACCTTTACCTAGCCAATGTTCTCAGATCACCTTTACCTAGCCAATGTTCTCAGATCACCTTTACCTAGCCAACCTTTACCTAGCCAGTGTTCTCAGATCACCTTTACCTAGCCAATGTTCTCAGATCACCTTTACCTAGCCAATGTTCTCAAATCACCTTTACCTAGCCAATGTTCTCAGATCACCTTTACCTAGCCAATGTTCTCAGATCACCTTACCTAGCCAGTGTTCTCAGATCACCCTTACCTAGCCAGTGTTCTCAGATCACCCTTACCTAGCCAGTGTTCTCAGATCACCTTTACCTAGCCAATGTTCTCAAATCATCTTTACCTAGCCAATGTACTCAGATCACCATTACCTAGCTAGTGTTCTCAAATCACCTTTACCTAGCTAGTGTTCTCAGATCACCTTTACCAAGCCAATGTTCTCAGATCACCTTTACCAAGCCAATGTTCTCAGATCACCTTTACCTAGCCAGTGTTCTCAGATCACCTTTACCTAGCCAGTGTTCTCAGATCACCTTTACCTAGCCAGTGTTCTCAAATCAGCACTTGCAGAAGAATACTGATCTCACTTAAATCAGTGTCTGTATAACAAAATCTTCTCACTGTAGGAAGTGGCTTAACAATGGATCCAGCTGATATATAACACCTTCAGAATGGCAGAGCAAGTTAAATGAATCAAGTGATAACTGAATATGCAACCTTAGCTGTGAGAAAATGTAATTGTAAAGGGGTGAAGCCGATTAACACAGAACTGGTATCTTCAGTCACAATACACACAGGTGTAATATTAAAAAAGGATCCGAACACAAATGAATGGATAGTTCGATGTACTGTTGACTAATATGTTCCACGGCAACTGTGTTGGTAAACAAACGCATTAATAAACATACACTCACGGTTCTATATTCTCTCACATTCACATAGACACAACCAGCACATTCGAACATACATCGCCCGTACAGTTAACAAGGGACACAACAAATATCATTTGTGCAGTATATTCCCCAGGCAAGGTCTATACATGCATAAACACAGACTGGATATTGCCAGCCATGTTTTTAAAACAAAACTGCTGAGGACTATGAAAATACAGTGCCCTGTGGACGGTGACTGGAACAAATGATGTAACACAGTGACCTGCGTACGATGACTGGAATAAATGAGGTAACACACAGTGCCCTGTGTACGGTGACTGGAATAAATGATGTAACACACAGTGCCCTGTGTACGGTGACTGGAACAAATGATGTAACACAGTGTCCTGCAGCAAAGTTTGCGCGCACCAACTCTGTGTGTCCAAAACCAGAGTGATTGCACTTAGAAAACACTTCTCCTAACCCTAGTTCAACAAACCCTGTGAGAAACATAAATTTACGATACCATAAATATAAACAAAATATAAAGTCAACTCAACTCAACTTAAATAGGAATACACAAAATCACTTAACTGACCACATCCAATAGAAATCACATCTCTGGCCATTAAAATAACTGACATGTGTGGCAACCATAAATAAATACCAGCCAGAAAAGGCTTCAAATTACAAGGGCTGTTACTCACCGCTATTAGATGTAACTGTTGGATGTTAAATTCCTTACGTGAATTAGGACCCATGAGATGGATAATGTGGTTCTCTGGAGACTTAGAGCTAGATCTGACTGCCATAACCTCCATGTCAAGGACAACTTGGTTCTCTGGAGACTTACAGCTAGATCTGATGGCCATAACCTCCATGTCGGGGACAATGGTTCTCTGGAGACTTACGGCTAGATCTGATGGCCATAACCTCCATGTCGGGGACAATGGTTCTCTGGAGACTTACAGCTAGATCTGATGGCCAAAACCTCCATGTCGGGGACAATGGTTCTCTGGAGACTTACAGCTAGATCTGATGGCCATAACCTCCATGTCGGGGACAATGGTTCTCTGGAGACTTACAGCTAGATCTGATGGCCATAACCTCCATGTCGGGGACAATGGTTCTCTGGAGACTTACGGCTAGATCTGATGGCCAAAACCTCCATGTTGGGGACAATGGTTCTCTGGAGACTTACAGCTAGATCTGATGGCCATAACCTCCATGTCGGGGACAATGGTTCTCTGGAGACTTACAGCTAGATCTGATGGCCATAACCTCCATGTCGGGGACAATGGTTCTCTGGAGACTTACAGCTAGATCTGATGGCCATAACCTCCATGTCGGGGACAATGGTTCTCTGGAGACTTACGGCTAGATCGGATGGCCAAAACCTCCATGTTGGGGACAGACCATGTATAATGTGAAATAAAGCATCTCCGTAACATCAACAACAATCGAACAGAAATACAATGTCCAAGAAACAATAAATACATGAGAATCTAGATTCCTTTAGCATGCGTTTACAAAATGTAACACCTGGCGACAAACTATATCAGTTTTGATCCTTCACCAATAATTATTCAAATCTTAACAGTGCAGGTTTATGATACATTCAACATCATGAAAACTTACAGTTACACTCTCAAACATGACCCATTCACACAATATACATGATTCACCAGAAGTGTTTGACATCCATGGCTGTCTCTGGATCGTGGGACTACCTCTGCTGCTCTGCTAATAACAGACTTAAATGAAATAAATAATTCACATATCACCCTGATAACATGTGCAACAAACATCTGTACAAGAAGGGAAACATGCTAAATATCAAATATATGGGGAAGAAGGGGTATACTTTTGCAGGCACAGCCTAACGACAGACACATTAACACAAGAGATACATGTACACACTGCCCCTGCAGAAATCTGTGTAACCTGCAAGGTTAATGCAGTAACCATTTCAGAGCTGCTACAAACCAAATGTGAATGTTTACTTTGTGATCATTTTCAGTGTTTGTGATTACAAACCAGTTGATGTGAACGCTTGGAGTAGCCTCCCCTTGCTAATGTGAGGAGGAGAAAAGGGGGGGACTACCGATGCTAAAGTCAACAGCTTGTGTTGGCACAGAAATATTAAGGTTTAATTTAATTAATATAAAAAACAAAACAGGAAACTATTAAAAAAAAAATTCACTCAAATTCAAATATAAACCTTGTGTTAACAATTTACTAACCTAATTATGATATTTCACCTAGTGTAGTATAACTATGTAACTTTTTGTAGAAACACATAATGTAAAAATACACACATATACATGTGACTAACAAATGATGAGCATGTTCAAATTGTTTTGTCACAAATATATTTTTTCTGTGCTGCGTTTAATAATTTAAGAGAAGGCAAGAGTGCACAAGGTATGGAGGGCAAGAGGAAGGGAAGAAATGCACAAGTCTAAAGTTACATGATGTTACAGAGGGAGCTCTGTTGTTGTGGCCGGTGCAGCTGTGTGGGTGTCGCAGAGTTGGAATTGTTGCTGTTGATCACCTCGGCCTTCAGGACCCGTTGATGCTGCTCCACTTCTGGCTTAGACATCCGGACTTGTAAAATATCCGAAGCTATCTTTTGAAAACAAAATGATACCTGCAATGAGATAAAAAACTTTCACAAAAGGAGAATAGAAAAGATTACAAATTGGCAAAAAGTGGATGTATGATTTCATCTTGGTGGTGTCACGTCTGCTCCATGATGTCTCAGCAGTTGTCCTTTTAACCAGTTCACGTAAATAATCTGCCTCCCATTGGGGCATTACCAAGAGTTGCCATAGATAATCTGCCTTTCACTGGGGCATCATTTTATGTTCACCAAGATGATCTGCCTTTTTTCATCATGAATTCACAAAATTCACCTAGATGATTTCACAGAATTCACCTAGATGATGTCTCTCACAGGGTGTTCACCCTAAGTTCAACTCGATGATCTGCCTCTCAAAGGATTTTCACAATAAATTCACAAAAATTATCTATTTCTCGCCGAGGCATAACGATGGTTCAGCCATTTGCCCCATTTCGTCAAGACTGCTGGTTTACTTGACAGACTGGTACTTCCGGTGTAAACAGCCACAATGGCGGTAAACTTTTTTTGTGCTATTTTCGCTCAATTATAATGTTAAAGTTTTATCAGAATGGGATCTGAACCGTGCAATGGAGTAAATGTACAGGAGTTCAGACTTCCCTCAGGGTGTATGTGATGTCCGATGACGACTATTTACCCATTCAAAACAACCCGTAGACGGACAAGGAGAATGCGAACAGACAAGCATGCTGGTGCCTACAGGAAGCAACTGAAATGTGAGAGACTCAGCTTAAAGTATATTCGCGTTCTCTACTGGAACTACATTTCGTTCAATCAACACCGACCCATTTTCGAGAAGCTCCTTTACAGCAATAACATTGTTGTCCTACAGGAAACACACCTCAGTGACGAGATCCTTAAAACTGCAGGCTTCCAAGGCTTCTACAATAGACGGCACCTCGGACGGCTCATTCTTGTTCGTGACAACATACCGGTGTCTGAGGTGGACATGTCTGAGTGGAATAATGACGACTTACAAGTACACGCAGTCAGAGTGTTGGGCCCGGCCCAGTTTGTGATTGTCAATGTGTACGCCTGCAATGAAAAGGTGGATACAGCGAAATGGCAGAGTTTGCTCCAGATGGAAGAAAAGAAAGTCCTTTACTGCGGAGATTTTAACGCCAGAGGAAACCAGTGGGTAATCACTAATAAACAGACAGGAGATCTGGAGGATGCCCTAGTGTCTGCCGATATAGTGTGCCTGAACCACCGAAAGGTTACACGAATTACAACCCGACAGGGGGATTCTGACAGTGTAATTGACCTGGCCCTAGTGTCTCCCTAAATTGCATCACACGGGCCGCATGCTGTAGGGTAGGTGTGTCAAACATGCAACACACAGGCCACATGCTGTAGGGTAGGTCTGTCAAACATGCAACACACGGGCCACATGCTGTAGGGTAATTGTGTCAAACATGCAACACACGGGCCTCATGCTGTAGGGTAATTGTGTCAAACATGCAACACACGGGCCACATGCTGTAGGGTAATTGTGTCAAACATGCAACACACGGGCCACATGCTGTAGGGTAGGTGTGTCAAACATGCAACACACGGGCCACATGCTGTAGGGTAGGTGTGTCAAACCTGCAAACACACGGGCCACATGCTGTAGGGTAGGTGTGTCAAACATGCAACACACGGGCCACATGCTGTAGGGTAGGTGTGTCAAACATGCAACACACGGGCCACATGCTGTAGGGTAGGTGTGTCAAACATACAACACACGGGCCACATGCTGTAGGGTAGGTGTGTCAAACATGCAACACACGGGCCACATGCTGTAGGGCAGGTGTGTCAAACATGCAACACACGGGCCACATGCTGTAGGGTAGGTGTGTCAAACATGCAACACACGGGCCACATGCTGTAGGGTAGGTGTGTCAAACCTGCAACACACGGGCCACATGCTGTAGGGTAGGTGTGTCAAACATGCAACACACGGGCCACATTCTGTAGGGTAGGTGTGTCAAACATGCAACACACGGGCTACATGCTGTAGGGTAGGTGTGTCAAACATGCAACACACGGGCCACATGCTGTAGGGTAGGTGTGTCAAACATGCAACACACGGGCCACATGCTGTAGGGTAGGTGTGTCAAACCTGCAACACACGGGCCACATGCTGTAGGGTAGGTGTGTCAAACCTGCAACACACGGGCCACATGCTGTAGGGTAGGCGTGTCAAACATGCAACACACGGGTCACATGCTGTAGAGTAGGCCACATGCTGTAGGGTAGGTGTGTCAAACATGCAACACACGGGCCACATGCTGTAGGGTAGGTGTGTCAAACATACAACACACGGGCCACATGCTGTAGGGTAGGCATGTCAAACATGCAACACACGGGCCACATGCTGTAGGGTAGGCGTGTCAAACATGCAACACACGGGCCACATGCTGTAGGGTAGGTGTGTTAAACATGCAACACACGGGCCACATGCTGTAGGGTAGGTGTGTCAAACATGCAACACACGGGCCACATGCTGTAGGGTAGGCGTGTCAAACATACAACACACGGGCCACATGCTGTAGGGTAGGTGTGTCAAACATGCAACACACGGGCCACATGCTGTAGGGTAGGTGTGTCAAACATGCAACACACGGGCCACATGCTGTAGGGTAGGTGTGTCAAACATGCAACACACGGGCCACATGCTGTAGGGTAGGTGTGTCAAACATGCAACACACGGGCCACATGCTGTAGGGTAGGTGTGTCAAACATGCAACACACGGGCCACATGCTGTAGGGTAGGCGTGTCAAACATACAACACACGGGCCACATGCTGTAGGGTAGGTGTGTCAAACATGCAACACACGGGCCACATGCTGTAGGGTAGGTGTGTCAAACATGCAACACACGGGCCACATGCTGTGGCTCTGCATGCAATATTTTGTCTTTACTTCCCAGGAATGTACCTGGTACCCATTCAAGGCTGGGCTGACCTGGGAGCCAAGGGTATTTCTGGAAAAAAGTCTAGCTCCGTTAGATTTGAACCCATGATCTTTGGACTCAAAGGCAAGCCTCTAGCCAGTACACCATGGCAGTTCCAGGATGTGTGCTACAAATACACAAATCAAGCGAGAGGTATGCAAGCTACTCACCGACTCTCCAGTTTTGGCCGACACAAAGTAGCTAGTCATACCGTGTTCCTGAGCAAACTTCTGCTGTTTGTCCTCTTTAACAGTTCGCATGTGTTCAAGGTCACCTGCCAGGCAAGAAATGCAAAAATACCAACAGAAGCTCATCAGTCGGTCATGTCCCCTGTGACATATAATGTTAAAAAAATGAATGGCCAACACTCATCGACATAATGGACTGTTTAACAGTACGTAGCTATATGTTCTTCCTGGATCTATGCAAGGATCTATATTTGTTGTTTATTTACCCATTGTTCACTGCAAGGGTCTATATTTCCATTGCTTGTCTACCCATTGTTCACTGCAAGGGTCTATATTTCCATTGCTTGTCTACCCACTGTTCACTGCAAGGGTCTGTATTTTCATTGCTTGTCTACCCACTGTTCACTGCAAGGGTCTATATTTCCATTGCTTGTCTACCCACTGTTCACTGCAAGGGTCTATATTTCCATTGCTTGTCTACCCATTGTTCACTGCAAGGGTCTATATTTCCATTGCTTGTCTACCCACTGTTCACTGCAAGGGTCTGTATTTTCATTGCTTGTCTACCCACTGTTCACTGCAAGGGTCTATATTTCCATTGCTTGTCTACCCACTGTCCACTGCAAGGGTCTATATATTTTGATGTTTGTCTAGTATGTGCTGTCAGTTTCTTCTGCCCTGTGTGCCCTCACGTTGTTGTTATAGAGGAACTGTTTTGCCCCTCTTTTACACCCTTAAGTGCTCACCTCATGTTCACAAGTGTTTTAGTCAAATAGAGACAGCCCAGACATAGCTGTGAGTTAAGTGCTTACCTCATGTTCACAAGTGTTTTAGTCAAATAGAGACAGCCGAGGCAAAGCTGTGAGTTAAGTGCTTACCTCATGTTCACAAGTGTTTTAGTCAAATAGAGACAGCCCAGGCAAAGCTGTGAGTTAAGTGCTTACCTCATGTTCACAAGTGTTTTAGTCAAATAGAGACAGCCCAGGCAAAGCTGTGAGTTAAGTGCTTACCTCATGTTCACAAGTGTTTTAGTCAAATAGAGACAGCCCAGGCAAAGCTGTGAGTTAAGTGCTTACCTCATGTTCACAAGTGTTTTAGTCAAATAGAGACAGCCCAGGCAAAGCTGTGAGTTAAGTGCTTACCTCATGTTCACAAGTGTTTTAGTCAAATAGAGACAGCCCAGGCAAAGCTGTGAGTTAAGTGCTTACCTCATGTTCACAAGTGTTTTAGTCAAATAGAGACAGCCGAGGCAAAGCTGTGAGTTAAGTGCTCACCTCATGTTCACAAGTGTTTTAGTCAAATAGAGACAGCCCAAGCAAAGCTGTGAGTTAAGTGCTCACCTCATGTTCACAAGTGTTTTAGTCAAATAGAGACAGCCGAGGCAAAGCTGTGAGTTAAGTGCTCACCTCATGTTCACAAGTGTTTTAGTCAAATAGAGACAGCCCAAGCAAAGCTGTGAGTTAAGTGCTCACCTCATGTTCACAAGTGTTTTAGTCAAATAGAGACAGCCGAGGCAAAGCTGTGAGTTAAGTGCTCACCTCATGTTCACAAGTGTTTTAGTCAAATAGAGACAGCCGAGGCAAAGCTGTGAGTTAAGTGCTCACCTCATGTTCACAAGTGTTTTAGTCAAATAGAGACAGCCGAGGCAAAGCTGTGAGTTAAGTGCTTACCTCATGTTCACAAGTGTTTTAGTCAAATAGAGACAGCCGAGGCAAAGCTGTGAGTTAAGTGCTCACCTCATGTTCACAAGTGTTTTAGTCAAATAGAGACAGCCCAGGCAAAGCTGTGAGTTAAGTGCTCACCTCATGTTCACAAGTGTTTTAGTCAAATAGAGACAGCCGAGGCAAAGCTGTGAGTTAAGTGCTCACCTCATGTTCACAAGTGTTTTAGTCAAATCCCAGAAGCAAGCATTCAGGAAAGTCACTGACAGAGTAACTAGGCAATATCTTATCTGGGTCAGAAAAACCAATTCAGGAGAACAGGGGAAAAAATAGACACAGAAGACAGATGGTGATAGAAAACACTAGCGCAAGGCAGATATGGAACCTCAAGAGATAGTAAGAAATGTTGATACTATGGATATCGCAAACCTTCGGCCCCGATTCCATGATAGATACCACAAACCTAGGAGAAATGTGACTTTTCTGCCTACCTCCGGGCGTCAACCCAGACTACAAGGAGTTGGTCACCCTGTCACCACACAGCTTGTTTAACCAACTGAGCTAGTGAGCTGGACCATAAGGGGAATAAAAGACAGATGAACAGTAAGTTCACAAACACAAGCTGCTTGACTTGTCAGACCTAACCCTTTGGCTCCAGACCTACAACCCTGGCTTCAGAACTACAACCTTGGCTCCAGACCTACAACCTTGGCTCCAGTCCTACAACACCTACAACCTTGGCTCCAGTCCTACAACCCTGGCTCCAGACCTACAACCCTGGCTCCAGACCTACAACCCTGGCTCCAGTCCTACAACCTTGGCTCCAGTCCTACAACCTTAGCTCCAGTCCTACAACCCTGGCTCCAGACCTACAACCCTGGCTCCAGTCCTACAACCTTGGCTCCAGTCCTACAACCTTGGCTCCAGTCCTACAACCTTGGCTCCAGTCCTACAACCTTGGCTCCAGTCCAACAACCTTGGCTTATCCTACAACCCTGGCTCCAGTCCTACAACTCTGGCTCCAGTCCTACAACCCTGGCTCCAGTCCTACAACCTTGGCCTCCAGTCCTACAACCTTGGCCTCCAGTCCTACAACCTTGGCCTCCAGTCCTACAACCCTGGCTCCAGTCCTACAACCATGGCTCCAGTCCTACAACCCTGGCTCCAGTCCTACAACCCTGGCTCCAGACCTACAACCCTGGCTCCAGACCTACAACTTAAGCTTAAGAACTCTAGACCTACAACCCTGGCTCCAGACATATACTATCTGCACTCATTTGCTAAATGACTTACGTTTGTTTCCAATCAAAGCCATATAAGGCATAGGACCAGACCCACAGACTTTGCTGACCACCTTGAACCAATCCTCCAAGTTTTCAAAGCTGGAGAAGTTGGTGATGTCGTAGACAAGTAGGACAGCCTAGAAATGGTCAGCAAAAGTCAGACAGTGACTGGGCAGATATCAACAATATATCAAATCTGAATTATATCAAGAAAACATAATAACTGACTGATATGATAAAGTAAGGCATAATATGATAAACAGACTTTATAATATTTTTTTTTAAATCTAACGCTTCGAGGAATGGTGGGAGACAGTGCAAGAGGAAGAGAGACGAAGGAGACATAGTGGAGAGAAAAGAGGGAGGTACACAGCGGAGGATAAGGAAGAGTGACATTACAAACAACAAGGGGCCAACCCTACTCATAATAAACAGTTACAGAACATGACACATACAGGATGAATGAGTAGTGTGAAATAGGAAAAAATGAAGAGTTCACTACTGCCTTCTTAGATCTGGCAGTGTAGACAGGAAGGTCGTGAGTCTGAGGATTAGGAGCCGATTGGCTAGTGCTGTCGCCACAGACTGTGCAGGTTAGACTGATTGATTTTGCCCCGACAGAAAAACTCCATTATGTTACCTAAGGTTGAACCCAGGTCTACCAGAAAAAAGCCTGATACTGTAACCACCACGTGGCTAGTCGCTACTCAAAGAACTAAGTGGTTTTACTAAAAGAGAAGAAGGAAAGTTCTCTCCAAGATTAAAGATTCAATGAACAGATGGGTCAAGTACGGGTCCAAACCAACTAAAGACTAAAACTGGACAGGTTACCAAACCTGAGAAAGAAAAGGCTGCTAGTCCAGATGATATTCTAGTTATTAAAGACAATAAAACATCCCTACAAATAATTTACTCTGGGAGACTGAAGAAAAACAGCCGACTGAATGGAAATAGATCTGTTGAATACAGCCGTTCTACAGCAAGTGACAATTAAAGAGGAGCAATCTTATTGTTAGTTCCTAGATCATTCTGGAAAGGGAGGCCATCGGAAAAATAACTTATGGATGAACAGGCAGGCTTCTAACTAAACAGATCCTCACTGATCAGACTGGATTATTATACAAACAGCGCAGCAGAGCACTGTAATGAACCTGTGTATTGGATGTGTGGACTGTAAAAAGGCCTCTGACACAACTGATAGAGTATCTCTATGGAAATAAAATCAACTGACAGAGTATCTCTATGAAAATCGATTGACACAACTGACAGAGTATCTCTATGAAAATCAATTGACACAACTGACAGAGTATCTCTATGAAAATCGATGAGGGATCCCAGAGGAGATCATCTAATGAAGTCAAAAGACAAGAAGGTGTCACACAGATGTCAAACATTCACAGACACTTTAGATTTTGTATCACAATCAACAAACCAAATGTCTTGGTTGGATAGAGACAAGCGTTTAATTTTGTCGAAGCATGGTGCTAAAAAAAAACATGTGAGTAGTCTAGATGGCACTGTCCCAAAATCCCAGGGTACAAGAAGAAAGGCAATACATCAGTAAACTAATGAACACACTCAGGCTTCATTTCTATTTGTAAATGTAGAGGACTGTTTCTGAAAACCACTCACATGAGCCCCAAATATGTAATTCTCAAGCATGCTGCCTCCTAAAGTTTGACCTCCTATATCCCATACTTGTAACGCCACATTGATGTTGCCTGAAATAGAAACAAGAATTATTTAAAACACAACAGTGATGTAAACATAAACAGTTCTTAGCAAACCTAAAGTTGAGAAGATAGACTTCACTGACCCTAGGTTACCTCACGCAGCTTAGTCTCTCTCCAGTGCAACAGCACAAAGCGCAAACTTTGTAGCTTCAGTGATGATCCCCAGCAGTTTTAGTAAAGAATGATGCGTCTGGGAAATGACCCCTTAGTAGAGATGCTGCGGGTGACCTTTCTCAAACATTTCTACTCAAGAGGGAGCTGCAGTAGCTGGCACACTTCCTATCTTAATTAAAGCAAAGATGATACAAAGTGGATCTGAGTTGCCAGGTTGACCCCATGCCCAAAAGAGGTTGACACTAATTGTGTGCATGTGGCATATACTTACATTACCATCCATATACAAGAGATGCAAGTTTTTACATATGTGAATGAAAGGCAACAGACAGTGAACATCTTCTGCATGAGGTCTTAGGTGATAGCAAGGGACAAAGGCTGAAAAGAGGTGGCTCTTGGATGTAAAACAAATGGGTTGCAGTGCTACCCAGCAAAAGACTTGCACAGAGTGAGTTACCTTGGACAGACCAGGCCAGGCATGGATAACTGGTGAAACAGTCAGCGGTGCAAGAGCTCACCAATGAACATTCACACAATTGTGACATCATAATATACACTGATGGGTCTGTAGTGAGAGGTCAGAAAAAAGGGTGAGGTTTTGTTGCAAAGGTGAATGGACACAGTTTGAAAACAGAGAGCCTCGCTCACGTTAATACAACCAGTATGAGAATGGAACTGGAGATAGTAGTGGCAGCTTATCTATGCTTGAGAACAGTAAAGACCATCAGAGCATGCTTCAGAAAATGGTGTCCTGCGCACAGAGAGGCTTGCATGTCAGACATTTTATGTGCAGGATATTCAAGTGTGCGAGGTAACAAGCAGGCTGACAGATTGGATGCTGCCCCTCTGGGTGTTGAGCTACTATATGATAAAGCAGATGTGGTGAGGACTATGGGATCAAAAGGACAGTGCAACAAAAACAAAACAAAAACCAGATAGGGAATCCATTTCCTGGAAGACTGATTCAACAGGCGCTTGTTCTGGAAGATATTCAACACAGAAAGGAAAACAGAGGCCGACTTTTAATCAGGTTGCAGTTGGTACTATCAGCATGTCAACCCTTGATTGGCTACAGAGGAAGGGGGCGGAGCATGTGTGGGAATAGCCCGAGCTCAGTGATGTCAATTCTCGATTCATTCATTCCTTTACTGACACTGCTCATCTATCAGAATACAATCCCTAACACAGAATATGTACACACCTTTACATATAGGCAAGGCATTAGCATGAACACATGTAAGCATTGAGAAACACACAAATAACTTGATAACCAAAACTGCAGAGCTGGAAACACCTAGAGTTGGTAGAAAATTGACATTTCCTGATGATATTCACATATATAGGCAGGGAAGAGATCAGAATCAAATTGCTCAAGAGTTACAGGTGACAGTAGATAAGCTGATCGACTGGTGTACAAAGATGAGTCCTGTAATCAACTCAGAAAAGGCAACCCTCCTGTGGTGTTCTTTGGAGAACAGGATTGTTAGAGTTGATGTTCCAAGCCTCACAATAAATGGCAGGCACATCAAGAGAGACAGCAGACTGCAGTACCTGGGAATCACCTTTGACAGAAGTTTGTCTTTCAAGGATCACATTGATAGATTGTGTCAACGATGGGCATGGAGCAAAGAATGCTGTTCACACTATACAAGCACTTAATCATCTCAGTGACTGATTATTGATTTGAGTTACTCACTGTCTCAAGGAGTCAGATAGAGAAACTGGAGGGCATACAGAATGAAGCTATGCGGCTGATCCTGGGATGTACAAGAGACACCAAAATTGTGTGCATGCGATACATCCTTGCATTGCCGACTATTGTAGATAGACTAAAGGTGCTGCAGGCTAAGTCATACCTCAAAGCAGCCGCAGATAAAGAGCACCCTCTGTATGAAGCTTTGGATGCAGTTAAGCGTCAGAGGCTGAAAGGGAGGAAATATGGAAGGCTCAAGCAAAAGACTCGAAAAGACAAGTATGCATGCTGGAGAACATTGGGCCAGGAGAGGAGTGGGTCAGAGTACCAGAGGACAAGTTTGACCTGTGTGATGTCATGATCACATAAGGCTGGGGTTGCAGACCGTGGCCAGCAGGGGCTACAGAGGTGGAAGCTCAACAGTTGATTAACGACTATTCTTGTCCTGATAATCTAATTATCTACACAGATGGTTCTGTATTGAGAGGGAAGAGAAGTGCCTGGGGTTTCAAAGCTAATGGAAAATGTTTAGTGCAAGACAGCATATGATACCACAACATCTATCATAAGAATGGAGGTGAAGTCAGTCACTGCAGCTTGCCGGTGGCTAGAGAACAAGATACATACACATGTCGTAATTGTAACGGACTGAAAGCATGTTGAAAAAGGTGAGGACAGGATTGCTACGAGCAGAGTGGCAAGCTTTATTTGCAAGGTCACATGTAGATAGCATACTTTGGATCTTTTCTCCAGGTCATGCTAGCGCGGTATGGAATGAACAGGCAGATAGACTGGCTGGGTCTGCACCACTGGGTGGTAAACTGATTCATGACAAGGCAGATGTGGTCAGAGCGCTTTGGGAAACAAGCAACAAAGTCAGAAGAGAAACCTACCTAACAAGAATGTCCTAGGAGTTGACTTATAAGGAGTTTCTTCTGAAGTTAGTGCATCTTCCCAAGCAAGAAACCAACAATCTGCACACAAATAAGCTAGATCAGTAAAATGGATGTGCATACAACATTAATGTTCTGGAACAAGACTATAATCCAGAAGTGGACAAACAACCAGAACTTGCCACGTGGTCACAGCTACTGGATATGAAGAAGGAGAGGAGAATTTGACCACAAGACCGATCTGTTCCACGACATCCCAGGTGTGTCTGAAGGTGTAACTCACTGATATCAGTCATTTCAAGTCCAAGGTCAGGATCAGGACTTGACAATCCATCAATCCAGTAAAAGATAACCAGACCATATTTGGTCAAACTCCATTTAAAGATGTGGAACATGTACATAGCTAGGCAGCGAAGCAGACAAGGTAGGGAAAACAGTCACAAAGATGTGGAACATGTACATAGCTAGGCAGCGAAGCAGACAAGGTAGGGAAAACAGTCAGAAAGATGTGGAACATGTACATAGCTAGGCAGCGAAGCAGACAAAGTAGGGAAAACAGTCAGAAAGATGTGGAACATGTACATAGCTAGGCAGCGAAGCAGACAAAGTAGGGAAAACAGTCAGAAAGATGCAAGCAGACAAAGTAGGGACAACAGTCAGAAAGATGCACACTTAAAAGTTCAGAGGAATTTCAAAGCACTAAGAGATTGTCAGCAACTGACACAGTAAAAAAATTATTTACAAGTAGTTCAACCTCGTCACAGTACTCTTACAGAAGTGTATATTAAAGGCAGCAGTGCAATTTTTCCAACAACACATAAAAGTACAGTGCTCTTAAGTAGCAGAAGTCTGACAGCACTGTAGTGCTCTAATGTAAGATCAGTACTATAACATCAGTGCTCTCATGTAAGATAGTACTGTAACATCAGTGCTCTCACATAAGATCAGTGCTATAACATCAGTGTTCTCATGTAAGATCAGTACTATAACATCAGTGTTCTCATGTAAGATCAGTACTATAACATCAGTGTTCTCATATAAGATCAGTACTATAACATCAGTGCTCTCATATAAGATCAGTACTGTAACATCAGTGCTCTCACATAAGATCAGTGCTATAACATCAGTGTTCTCATATAAGATCAGTACTATAACATCAGTGCTCTTATGTAAGATCAGTACTATAACATCAGTGCTCTTATGTAAGATCAGTACTATAACATCAGTGCTCTCATGTAAGATCAGTACTGTAACATCAGTGCTCTCATGTAAGATCAGTACTATAACATCAGTGCTCTCATGTAAGATCAGTACTATAACATCAGTGTTCTCATGTAAGATCAGTATTATAACATCAGTGTTCTCATGTAAGATCAGTATTATAACATCAGTGTTCTCATGTAAGATCAGTACTGTAACATCAGTGCTCTCATGTAAGATCAGTGCTGTAACATCAGTGTTCTCATGTAAGATCAGTGCTATAACATCAGTGTTCTCATATAAGATCTGTACTACAACATCAGTGTTCTCATGTAAGATCAGTGCTATAACATCAGTGCTCTCATGTAAGATCAGTACTATAACATCAGTGCTCTCATGTAAGAACAGTACTATAACATCAGTGCTCTCATATCAGTACTCTAACATCAGTACTCTAACATCAGTGCTCTAATGTAAGATCAGTACTCTAACATCAGTGCTCTAACATCAGTACTATAACATCAGTGTTCTCATGTAAGATCAGTGCTATAACACCAGTGTTCTCATGTAAGATCAGTGCTATAACATCAGTACTATAACATCAGTGCTCTCATGTAAGAACAGTACTCTAACATCAGTGCTCTCATGTAAGAACAGTACTATAACATCAGTGCTCTCACGTAAGATCAGTGCTATAACACCAGTGTTCTCATGTAAGATCAGTGCTATAACACCAGTGTTCTCATGTAAGATCAGTGCTATAACATCAGTGCTCTCATGTAAGATCAGTACTATAACATCAGTGCTCTCATGTAAGATCAATACTATAACATCAGTGTTCTCATGTAAGATCAATACTATAACATCAGTGCTCTCATGTAAGATCAATACTATAACATCAGTGCTCTCATGTAAGATCAATACTATAACATCAGTGTTCTCATGTAAGATCAATACTATAACATCAGTGCTCTCATGTAAGATCAATACTATAACATCAGTGTTCTCATGTAAGATCAATACTATAACATCAGTGCTCTCATGTAAGATCAATACTATAACATCAGTGCTCTCATGTAAGATCAATACTATAACATCAGTGTTCTCATGTAAGATCAATACTATAACATCAGTGCTCTTATGTAAGATCAATACTATAACATCAGTGTTCTCATGTAAGATCAATACTATAACATCAGTGCTCTCATGTAAGATCAATACTATAACATCAGTGTTCTCATGTAAGATCAATACTATAACATCAGTGCTCTCATGTAAGATCAATACTATAACATCAGTGCTCTCATGTAAGATCAATACTATAACATCAGTGTTCTCATGTAAGATCAATACTATAACATCAGTGCTCTTATGTAAGATCAATACTATAACATCAGTGTTCTCATGTAAGATCAATACTATAACATCAGTGCTCTCATGTAAGATCAATACTATAACATCAGTGTTCTCATGTAAGATCAATACTATAACATCAGTGTTCTCATGTAAGATCAATACTATAACATCAGTGTTCTCATGTAAGATCAATACTATAACATCAGTGCTCTCACCTTGAAGGCATATTCTCTTCAGATAAAAATCCAAGCCTACAGTCTGACCATAGGGCTTGGAAAACTGCTCTTGGGTATATCTTGTACATAGAGATGTCTGAGGAGAGATTCAAACTTGTACATAGAGATGTCTGAGGAGAGATTCAAACTTGTACATAGAGATGTCTGAGGAGAGATTCAAACTTGTACATAGAGATGTCTGAGGAGAGATTCAAACTTGTACATAGAGATGTCTGAGGAGAGATTCAAACTTGTACATAGAGATGTCTGAGGAGAGATTCAAACTTGTACATAAAGATGTCTGTGAAGTCATACTTCTTCTTTTGTTTGTTTGTATGAGTGCCTGTTTACAGAAGAGCTGTAATATTTGTGCCTTTTAGCCAATACAGCCAACTTCATGGAGCATTTGTTACCTGGGTTAACTTCTTAGATAGTTTTGTGGGACAGGAACATGTTGTGGCTTTATCTGTGTGGTGTTTTCTTTATTCCCTTATCTGCATGTGTTGCTCCTGGAGACCCCGTCCAAGGCATCCATTGTAGACATGTCTGCCCTCAAGGAAAGGCAGGGGCAGATCATGGGTATTCTCCGCCATCCAAGGAGGCTTCCATAAATGCAGAGCCGAAATATGTTGCTTTGGTCCTGGGTTCACCCAGGGAATCGTCACATCCTGTACATGACTGCCTAATCTCACATCCGTATGTTCAGCCTTCCAAGCGCCTGGTGATCAGCAGGAAGCAGCCTGGAGGTCCAGGACTTTGATGGCCACACAACTATGTAGATTTTCATTCGACACGTTAGTTTGTTTCATCTGGTACGCAAATGATCCGTTAAACCATCCATGAGCCGCATGGTGCCCGAGGTGAGGTATGGAGTAAACCCTTATACACATTACAATGACCTTAACTTTCTCTCACAAATGTGGTCGATATCATCACCCCACTGAAGAGAGATTCAAACTTGTACACAAAGATGTCTGAGGAGAGATTCAAACTTGTACACAAAGATGTCTGAGGAGAGATTCAAACTTGTACAAAGAGATGCCATTCACTCAAGATGGTAAATTGGATGAAAAAATTGACCACCGACCCAGTAAAGCAGGCCAAGTATTGGGATAGCTAGCTCCCCTCTTACAGTATAAGGCAATCCCAGTGAGCACAGAGAAATATCTCATACAAAACATATTCATTCCCACCCAGTGCCAGACATGGTCAGTCACAACAAAACATACAAGAAAATTAGTAACCATGGAAACAAGGTGTCTGAGAAAGGCTGTAGGAGTGACCAGAAGAGATAAAATCAGGAATGAGGTCAAACAAGATAAAGTCGGTATAGAACCAATTCTAAACTACATACAAAGACAGCAAATCAAATGGTTTGTCCACTAGGAGAGAATACTTTATGATGCTATACCAAAAGAGGAGAGGGATGCAGAGCAAGAGGTAGACCAAGAATGCATGGGAAGAAAACATCAGAGAAACTCTACAGCACCACGATGTGTTTAAGGTCGAGACAGCCAGATCAGCACGAAGCAGGATCTTATATCTTCCTTGACACCAAAAGTGGTAAGAGAGGACGTACAGAAGAAGAATAGTTGCTGAGGATAGATTCAAATTTGTACACAGTATTCACATCAAATTTCCAATTCTTGATTACCTTTATGGATGAAGTGATGATGGAAAGATAAGAAAAAAAGTAATTAAAGTTCAACATTACATTTTTTAAAAACCATTATCTTATTTATCTGTAACTGTAAGATTTCTTAAAGTTTTCCACTGTTTAGGTGGCTACAATTAAGCTCACGGGAAGCATTTTTTCTGATCGATATCTCGAATCGAGACTGTTTTCTAGAAATGTAAGTTACTTAAACACTTATACAGCTATCCTCCGAATAATCGTCTCAAATTATCGAGGCCGCAAAAATATACCCTGACAGGGCCTCAGTGACATGTAAATTGCGGACCTCTTTTTGGCGACTACACAGCATACCGCGGAAAATCTTCCTCTTAGTTAAAGTAACTGCCGAAAGTTTCCCCTGTGCCGCTACGCGCGGCTAAATTATATGGCTGGGACTCACAAGCAGCAGCTACCGCATTTCCTGCAGCTTTCTCCATTTTATTTATTCGTGAGTCCCAGCCATCTAGTTTAGCCCGACTCTGCGCCACGGGATATACTCTCGGCGGCGGTGGTATAGTCGCTGAAAAGAGGTCCGTAATTTACATGTGACAGGCCCTGTTAGGATATATTTTCGGCCTGGATAATTTGGGACCGTTATTCGGAGTATAACCGATAACCCACTTATAAAGTGCTAGCTAGGTCTGGAAGTAGAAGACTGCTTCGATTGTGTTATTAACTCTTGAGAGAATCTGATCCCAAAAAAATCTTGGCCATTTTTCAGCTCTCTAGCCAGAACCTCTTCATGGCATAGAATTTAACAGAAGACCCTCATTAATACCAACCTTCCCCGAGGCACCATCGCCAAGAACCACCAGCTTCAGCTGTCTCTCTGGAGTGTCCTCCTCCGAGTCCGACATTTTGACACTAGAAAAGGACAAACAAGCGCCCGATGTAACAATACAGCCAATACAAATACTGATGTGATAAATATACAGTCTGTGAGTATTCCTATAAGGCAGACATGTCTGACACAAGACCGAACTGTGCGCCACAACAAAGTATCATCCCGCACGAGCTACAGCAACTCAAGCAGGCGGCCGCCATGTTGGGGCAGACATGTTTGTGTTGTATCGTCTGTAACGCGGACAACCACGTCAGTGCCAGGTTTCATTGCCTTGTTCATCATCATCAGCGTGTGCCGTAACGACTTCTTCTTCTTCTTCTTCATCTTCTTCCACCTTGTACCTCGGTAAAGGGTCGGGGAAGATGTAACGTTCGCTGATGAGCTCTGTCAAGAACACTATTAAAAGTGATTCTGTAAGGCTGTTCTTAATGCCATCACACCATATTTTCCGAGGTCTTCCGCTCCCTCTATACCAGCTGAACCGTTTCAGTGAGGTAGATAGTACTAGGGTATTCTTGACAGGTGTCCAAACCACTTCATTTGTTATTATTTGATGAACTGTAGGACTGGCTTTATTCCTAGCATTCGTTTGATTTCGTGATTTCGTATTCTGTCTTTCCTTGAAACTCCTGCAGCTGTACTAAGGCATTTCATCTCTGTTTACACAATTTTACGCTCATTATAGGATTTAACTGTCCACTCAGAAAATTTGTATAGGTGCTACCTCAACTTACTATCTGTGTGTTTGTGTGTGCGTCTGTATGTGTATATCTGTGTATATATGTGTATCTGTTTGTGGGTCTGATTGTGTGTATGCGTCTGTGTCTCTGAGTGTGTGGGTTAGTGTGTGTTTCTGTGCCCGTGTCTCTGTGTGTGTCTGTGGCTACGTGTGTATGTGAGTGTGTGTCTGTGTGTCTGTTTGCAGGTGTCTGGGTTTTTAAATGCGTGTGCTTTTGTGTGTGTCTGCGCTAGTGTGTGTGGTTAAGTGTGTGCGCAAGCATTTTATCACCCGTCTTTTGTGTTTTCACTTGATATTCATAACATGCATATTATTATATGAACATAACATGCGTTAGTGAAAAAAACAACTGCTGTGTGAAAGACTGGTGTTTGGAAATGCCGAATTTAAGACGGGTCTGCGTGCCCAATTTGTGAACCTCTAAAAATAAAGTTCGTTCTTTCGTTCGTTCCTCATTTGATATCACACCGTTTATTTTGAGAATGGAGGCGAAGGCAGTCACTGCTGAATTCGCTGGCCTGAGAATTGGCAGTACACACATGCCGTGATTGTAACAGACTCACAGAACATGTTGAGAATGTGAATTTGTGGCAAGCATCGCTTTAGAGATCTTGGGCCGTTATCGACATTTTGATATTTTCTCCAGGTCATAAAAGAGAAGAAATAAAACAAAGTCTTAGGCCGGAGAGAATTCAAGCAATTAATTGAAAAGCAACTGACAGATGGGACGGTTAAGTTATCTGACGAGAGTGCTTGATACTAACTGCCACTGACAGATGGGACGGTTTAGTTATCTGACGAGAGTGCCTGATACTAACTGCCACTGACAGATGGGACGGTTTAGTTATCTGACGAGAGTGCCTGATACTAACTGCCACTGACAGATGGGACGGTTAAGTTATCTGACGAGAGTGCCTCATACTAACTGCCACTGACAGCCCCGCTGAAGAAATACAAATAGCGCAGAGGAAGAAGATGACCATGTGAAAGATGGAACGATGGGACCAAGAATTATGTTCTTTGATCCATTTTCTGCTTCGTATGCAGATGATGGGTTTCCCAGATAGAATGTAGTAATGTGGATTCTCAAGGTGTCACTGATTCCTTCCGTCGATCTTTATCTTGCTTGTCCACTACATCTTGGGGTTTCTCATTTCCTATTTGTGTTACTCCTTTCATCTTTAATGTTACTACTTTCATCTTTGGTGTTTCTACTTTCCACAACTTACTACTACATAAACGTCAGTAGCCTAACAACAAGTCTACACACATCTAACCTATCGAGGGGATGAAGTTATGAAATGCCTATACGACAGGTTCAAAACGCCAGTCAGCCATACTTTCTACGCAGTTTTTTGTAATCAGTTTCAAAAGTACCCCCGTGCCAACGCCCTCGGTGAAACAACCAGAGTCGACGAACGCCAAATCTAATTGTATCTACCAATTTATGTAAAGCTGTGAAGCTACTTATGTGGACAGAACGGATCGATGCCTGAAGAAACGAGTCGCTGAGCACATTCCAGTATGGGTGGGAAAAGCTATGCAAAATAATTTTCAAAATGAGAATACTGGCCGCAAAGATCACCCCTTTGCAGACACAGACCACCCTTTGCACGAAGCTCTAGATGCAGTTAAGGGTCAGCGGCTGATAAGAGGTAAGTCATTAATGGCTCAGGCAGAAGACACAATCAGACAGGTTTGAATCCTTGAGAACATTAGGCGAGGAGAGGAGTGGGTCAAAGTACCACCTGAACAGTCAGACTTGTGTAGGGTCATGATATCACTGAGCCGGGAATGCAGATACTGGCCAGCAGGTGCCACGGAGGTGAAAATTCAGCAAATTATTCAAGATAATGCTCGCTCAGAAGATTTGATCATTTACACAGATGGTTCAGTGTCAAGAGGCAAAAGAAGTGCCTGGGGTTTCGGAGCAAAAATTAATGGTCGACGTTTGGTGCAGGAGAGCCTGGCATATGATACCACAACATCCAGCTTAAGAATGGAGGTGGAGGCGGTCACTGCGGCTTTTCGCTGGCTAGAGAACACAACACATGCACACATCATTGTTGTAACTGACTCAGAAAGCATGCTGAGGAAGATCAGGACAGGCACGCTTCGTGCAGAGTGGCATGCCTCGCTGCGGAAAACACGGGTGAGGAGTATTTTCATAAGGGTATGCCGGTGTGTTAGAAAATTAACAGGCGGACTGACTAGCTGGCTCTGCACAGCTTGGTGGAAAACTGATGCATGATAGGGCAGACGTGGTTAGTGCCTTGTGGGAGAGCTTGTACAGTTCGGAGGAGCAGTTGGATCACCACAGTGTGGTGAGATTGATGCAGGGTGGAGTGACGAGAGGTTCTGGCAGATGCTCGAGGCTGAGAGGAAAGGCAAGACGGACGTTTAATCAGAATGCTACTGGCACCATTAGTATCGGAACTCTTCGCTGGATGCTGAAGATGGGGACGGAGCGCTTATGGGAATGCCCCGAGTGCTGTTATGTCGGTTCTTGAATCAAAGCAAATCAAAATCTTATAGCAATTCTGTTATTATTTCAATTCCAAAATAGCCAAAAGCTTTAATTTCTTACAAAGTAATGCCTGGCTCAAGCGCCTTTCATTTCTTCGTGTGACGCAATGCATCCTCAACTTCTGCGGCCGGTATTGATGGACCTTCACTGTTGTCCTGCAAATATACATCTGGTTTATTATCATCATACAAATAACCCAAGTACTTTATCTATTTTTTAATTATCTCACTTTGCCCCATTATTATTTCACCTTCTTTCCATTTTAAACAGCCTGCGATGTTACACCTCTTCTTCCCTGTTAATATACTCACCTGTTTGTGCATTGAAGTGAGATTTGTCCGTGATTTTTCCCAATCTGAGTGCACGTCTAATTCAGCCAGGTTTCTTTAGCCCATTTATTTGCATTTCCCCCCACGCTTTCTTTTTGTATATTTGGGAATGCCCACTGAATGCGCATTGATCAGTGTCCGAGCGGTGCTTTCTGGTGCCACAGGAAATAATGTTGCCGACATATTTCCCAAAGGAAGGAAGACGTAACTCATTGAGATGTGTAAATTAACATCCGCAAGAGGTGCAGCTGCTAGTCTGCATACCGTGTTGGATTTCGTTCTAGTATGCACAGGCCTGACACATTTGGTGTGCTGTCAATCTGTTTACTATTGATTTGTATGACATGTCAGCTCGAGCAACAGCCAGGCTCCCATGTGACACCGACACACGAAGGTAACAACACTTGCGTACAGGGCTACTTCGGCAGGGCATGTGTCAGCAAATGCCCAAGTCCTTGTTCTCAGACCTGCGACAGTCATGGCTACTGCACGGCCTGCTCTCGCACAGGGGTCCAACTTCCAAACTGTACTTTACAATGTCCAAATGGTTTTTATGGTCTCCATTGCCAGAACAGATGTTCGGAGTGTAGGAACTCAGCGTGTAATCCACATTCCGGCGAATGTAGAAAATGCAGATTTCCGGGCCTGCGGCTGCCATTCTGTACAAACCCGTGTCTTCCTGGAACGTTTGGAATGGACTGCAAGAATCGCTGCCCCTTGCCATGTCGACAGAAGTGTGACATGATCACCGGCGATTGTTTTGAATGTGAGTACGGACAAGGACCGCGATGCCAGGTGAACTGTGCAAGCGAAGATAACATGGAGGCATGTAAACGCTACTGTCTGGGCAGATGTCTTACCTGGTGTAATTCTTCCAGTGGCATGTGCTCCATCTGCGTCCCTGGCTACAAGGCACCTGTCTGTAAAAATCCTTGTGACGACGGTCGCTTCGGGCACAACTGCGCTGAAAGATGCTCCGTCCGCTGTAGAGGTGGGCGCTGCGACCCCACCACTGGAGTCTGCTATGCGTGTAGTGATGGCTATGTCGGGCAGAGATGCAATGGTCAGTGCATTCCAGGCTTCTTCGGAGCTGGATGTACCAGCAGTTGTCCACCAACTTGTGCTGACGGCTTGTGTAACTTCACGTCAGGCGACTGTACCCGGTGTAACCCTGGATACACGGGTCCAGGCTGCGATCAGTTTTGTGGGGAAGGTAAGTTCGGAGAGGGCTGCCAGCAGGACTGCCCGATCGCCTGTGGCGGCAAGTGCGACCCTGTGTCTGGAGAGTGTTGGCGCTGTCTTCCTGGGTATGTTGGGATCTTCTGCAACGAATCCTGCAAACAGGGCACCTACGGACCGGGCTGTGCTAGCCTGTGTCCAGCAGGATGTCTGCAACGAATGTGTAATCACGTGACAGGGGCGTGTATTGCCTGCCAGGACTACTTACAGGGCAAGCTGTGTGACCAGTCAAAAGTCCCCAGCTCCACACCTGTGCACGTGCTAATTATAATATCGTTGTCAATGACTCTTGTAGTCCTGACCTTACTTGTTTCAGTGATATGCTTCCGACGAAAAATGAGGCGCAGTCAAACAGAAACGACAAACAGTGAGGAAAAGACTCAAACCAAAGAGGAAGCAGCTGGTATCGGGAACATGAGCGGAAAACTACAAACTGAAGCAGTTAATCCACATGAAAGTCCAGCTGCTACATCCGCAAGCCGAGCGCGGGATTCACGCGGTAGACTGACCACACGTCCTGCTGCCTTGTTTATACCTCTGACACAGCAGGTCCACAACCCCACGATCAAAAATCCCGTACACTTGTGCTTACGACCTGGTTTACGATCCAGCAAGGTGCCGACGCCTAGAGAATTTGATTCTAAGAGCAGCCAGAACTTAGACAATCAGTTTGCTCACCTGCTGAAACAGCAATTGCAAGGAATCGCAGCACGCCCCTACCCTTCTAGAACAGTCGGCCCTAGAAGATTAGGAAAAAACCCTGGACAAATGAGCTGGTATACAGGAAAAAGCCTTCTTAACAAAGAGTCAATAACTGATTTGCCAAAATTTGGCAAACTGTCAGACAGACGAAGGGAACATTACGGTTTCTCACCTGAAGGAAGAACAAGTAGTATGCGAGAAGAGGGTAGCATAACCACTCCTGGCAGAAATGAGTTTCGCTCTGACGGAAAGACTGGTCGAGAAACTAAGATCACTTTGTTTGAGCACACCGAATGTGTGTCAGGGAAGACGACTGTGTCCACGGCCTGGTCGGTCAATCTACCGCCATACACTCCTCTAGTTCCCAGCCGACAAACTCCAGAGCAGGTCATCGCCCAGTCACGCGACTCTTTCTTAACTGGACGCATCGTCAGCAGTGCAGACTCCCTGTTTGGACTAGCCTCCGCTGACCTCAGTCGCGAGATGTCCAACATGAGCCAGAGAAAGAGTCAGGTGTTAGAAAGGGAACAAACTACACAGCCAAAGGGCGCCCCGCCCTGCCGCCAGGTGGCAACTAACCGCATCAGATCCTCGGCCAGTCACGTGTTCTCAGACAAGAAAACTGCCATCACGCAGAAAAGTACTGTGCTCCGACGACAACCGAGCGTGTACAGTTTACCAGAAACTATTCTCTCCACACACCTGACCTGCGTGACGCACCCAGTAGATGTCCACAGCGATATACGTAGCATGGTTCACAGTGATGGCAGGCTGGCGTGGACTAAACCTGACCTCAAGTCCTGCATGAGAAACTTGACGACTAAACATGAGATCAGCATTAGTGATCAACCAGGTAGCGATGTAGGACAGCCTAGTTCCTTATCTGAGGCGGCGAGAATATCATGTGTCAGCGAGCGGTCAGCTGTGGTTTCAGATAGTTCCAAATCTGCTCGGCGCACTTCCCATGGAGACAAACCGAGACCCAGTGACCCACAGACGGGCTACACCGGTCTGTTTTATAGTTGTCTGAATAAAGTAGAGACAAGAGGTCACAGAGAGCACGGTGCTGTCCCTGGAGATGAGACCATCCCGCACTCAGAGACCAACAGCTGGCTGAACTACGAGGATCAAGATGACACTGCCACATGTTGTGATGTCAGCTCACACATAAAGGTTCACGATTCCCGACCCACCTTCGGTGAGGTCGTAGTCCCAGAAACTCTGCCGGTGGCAAGAAGTACTGTCGGCAGCAGCTCTTACCACCGCGTTGCCAACATGAATCCAAACGTGACCCCTCCGAAGCAGCTGGGTAAAGCACAAGCTTCACAGGATGAAGACACACAGGATGATACCAGTGATGGGCTATTCTTCCAACATCGCAGTGAGAAGCTGACAACAATGCCATTCACTGATCGAGAGGCAGCAGAGGATAAGGCTGTCCAGGCGCGTGATGATCTGTTTGTCCATTTAGCGCCGGCGAAGCTGGGAGTTGGCTCCAAAAGGACCAATAGGTCAGGTCTGCCTGGAGACAATGCCAGCCCTAAACTGATGCGCTGCTCCACCACACGTCAGGTGTCACCCATGTACTCATACAACACATCGCAGATGGTTAACCGACTACAGCCTCTACCCACGCCACCACCAGAAGGTATCAAAGCCTTGCGACCAGTCAGGAAACGGTCCATGTCATCTTCAAGCTCGGAATCTCAGGTGCTCGACACTGATACGACCAACGAAAAACACCACAGTTAAATTTTCAAAACATTACACACAGTTCCCTGTTCTGAAATAAATAACAACATCTGTCAACCGTTTATGCATATAAATACACGCATTGCTTTCAAACAAACTAGTGATCGTTAGGAAGAAGAAGAAGAAGAAAAGAAGAAGAAAAAGAAGAAGAAGAAGAACAAGAAGAAGAAATAGAAGAAGAAGAAGAAAAAGAAAAAGAAGAAGAAGAGGAGGAGAAGAAGAAGAAGAGAAGAAGAAGACGAAGAAGAAGAAGAAAAGAAGTAGAAGAAGAAAAAGAAGAAGAAAGAAGAAGAAGAAGAAATAGAAGAAAAAGAAGAAGAAGAAAAAGAAGAAATAGAAGAAGAGAAGGAGAAGAAGACGAAGAAGAAGAAGAGGAGAAGAAGAAGAAAAAAGAAGAAGAAGAAGCAGAACAACAAAAACAACAAAAACAATAACAAAAATAAAAAGAAGAAGAGGAAGAAAAAGAAGAAGAAGAGGAAGAAAAAAAAAGAGGAAGAAAAAAGAGAAGAAAAAGAAGAAGAAAGATAAATAAAAAGAGGACACTGTGTTTTCATCTTGTTGTTCACCGGCTATGTGACGTTTCTAATGTGACGAACTTGGTAGTGATGTAACATGTCAAATTTTATAAAAGTTGGAGAAAAAATAAAAGGGGAGTGGGGGGAAGGAGAGGTGATCTGTGATTTCTAATCTGATGAACTTAAGATGAGGTCAAGGGGTGGGTGGGCGGGGTGGGGGGTGGGGGAGAGGGTGATGTTACATCTCTAATTTGATAAGCGTGGGAGTTATGTGGCGTTTCTAATTTGGTGAACGTGGCAATGATGTAATATCTCTTATTTGACGAATGTGGGTATGATTTGACATTTCTAATTTGATACATGTGACAGTGAGCTGTGAACGTGGAAGTGATGTGACAGTTTTACACTGTTGAACGTGGAAGCGATGTAACAGTTTTACTCTGTTGAACGTGGAAGTCATGTGACAGATTTACTCCGTTGAACGTGGAAGTGATGTGACACTTTGACTCTATTGAACGTGGAGGTGATGTGACAGTTTGACTCTATTGAACAAGTAGTGTGACAGTTTTACTCTGTTGAACCTGGAAGTGATGTGACAGTTTTACTCTATTGAACAAGTAGTGTGACAGTTTTACTCTGTTGAACGTGGAAGTGATGTGACAGTTTGACTCTATTGAACGTGGAAGTGATGTGACAGTTTTACTCTGTTGAACAAGTAGTGTGACAGTTTGACTCTGTTGAACGTGGAAGTGATGTGTTAGTTTGACTCTATTGAACGTGGAAGTGATGTGACAGTTTGACTCTATTGAACAAGTAGTGTGACAGTTTGACTCTGTTGAACGTGGAAGTGATGTGACAGTTTGACTCTATTGAACAAGTAGTGTGACAGTTTGACTCTGTTGAACGTGGAAGTGATGTGACAGTTTTACTCTATTGAACAAGTAGTGTGACAGTTTTACTCTGTTGAACGTGGAAGTGATTTGACAGTTTGACTCTATTGAACGTGGAAGTGATGTGACAGTTTTACTCTATTGAACAAGTAGTGTGACAGTTTGACTCTGTTGAACGTGGAAGTGATGTGATAGTTTGACTCTATTGAACGTGGAAGTGATGTGACAGTTTTACTCTATTGAACAAGTAGTGTGACAGTTTGACTCTGTTGAACGTGGAAGTGATGTGACAGTTTGACTCTATTGAACAAGTAGTGTGACAGTTTTACTCTGTTGAACGTGGAAGTGATGTAACAGTTTGACTCTATTGAACGTGGAAGTGATGTAACAGCTCTGATCTGATGAACGACTGAGAGGATGTGACGCTTTTAGCTTATCGGTAGAATGCAACTCTTAAGTTTGCTTTGTTGCGGCAGTCAAAAGTATGTGTTTTTGAAGATCATTGCAAACCCACCATCGGCAGTCTTGATTGGAACTATCAACTCCGTACAGAGAAGAAGACGGCCTGCTAGTGTATATTTTATAAACTATAAAATTTAAAAAAACACAAAACCAACTCAGAATGAAAAGCTTAATGGCTTTCCCTGACCCTCCGTTCAACTGTTTCGTCATAGAGATGGCGATAGTTAAGCCGTCTTTAAAGCTACTTATATTCTTCTTCTCAGCGTTCATCAGTAGTAAATCCCAGTGGAAAGTTTTGGATATTTGTTCCCTTTTGGACTTTGATCTGGTTGAATTTGAGTTTTGCATGCACATCAGATTTACAGATAAGGTGTATTTGTATGCCGACTGTTGATTTCTCGCCTCTCAGAGAAATACACTTAAACCTGACACCCATAGTTAGTCACTTGCTACGATTTGCTTGTTATGGAGCTGACAGTCTGTTCTTTCCCCCTATATAGGGCCAACAGTTATTGTTGTTGAAAGCTCCTTGGCTGCAGGCATTCGTTTAGGGATAGGAATTTCAGTAAAGACATTGAAACAGTGTTGGTAATAAATTCACAGATCATGTCGGAACTCCCAGAAGTGACACAAACCAATCATGTTTCTTCTTCACATGTTGGTTACCCACTAACACCAACGTTTCGTTTCAATGTGTGTGTTAAATAGTCGACAATTAAGATACATTTCTGAGACATGGACCGATGGCACTAGTTCAGGGACTAGATGTGAACTCTGACTGTATCCAATAGAGTTGAGGGATTCAGTAGATGGCAGAGCTGGTTTATGTAGCCATCGGGTTTAGCGTTTGTTGCTCTTCGTGCGGTATAGACCCGTTGGTTGGAAAGGGGGAAGAGGGGGGGGGGGGTGGGTGGGTTGGTGTGCTTAACTAGGATGTGTTCGACTGACAGACACAGATATCGCAACCCAACTGTAAATCATAAAACAACACACCAACCGCCCTTTATAAGCGAACAGGGAAGAGAGTGGTGATTAGTTGGGCATATGGCGACGTACGCATGTTTCTTTTTCGGCTCACTGTCGTCACTGTCTGGCCGCAAGCTCCATTTTCGCTGTAAAAACTATACGTGGAATGTAAGGTTTACATTGTCTAGCGTGTCCCCTGATCCCCAATACTTACCTCTCCCTCTGTGAGTGCTAATCATAACCTGGGGATCTGTTTCTCCTGTCAGAAGGAGAACGCATTATACCACCAATACTGGCTAGGTGCTGTGTGCAAGACGGGAATGTATCACCTCGCTGTGTTGTCATTCACGAGTCTTGAAGCAGGCAGAAGCAAAATATGTTCTTATCTATACAGTTTTACATTAATATATATTGTATATGTGTTATCATATAGTATATTACAGGCCTGAGTGAATAAACTCTTGTCTCTTGTAGACTGTTGTATTACATTCAGTTTTCTGGGGGGATATTTTCGGTTGTGTGACTGTTAGTTAATCGATGGATCATAGCAGATCGCACAGTCCATAAGCGTTCGGATGTTTAGTATGTCTCTTAGTGTGGCGACCGATAACACCAGTTCTGTGTTCGTGTTTGTGTGTGTGGCGACTGATAACACCAGTTCTGTGTTCGTGTTTGTGTGTGTGGCGACTGATAACACCAGTTCTGTGTTTGTGTTCATGAGTGTGGCGACTGATGACACAAATCCTGTGTTTGTGTGTGTGGCGACTGATAACACCAGTTATGTGTTTGTGTTCGTGTGTGTGGCGACTGATAACAGCAATTCTGTGTTTGTGTTTTGTGTGTGTGTGTGTGTGAGGACTGATAACACCAGTTATGTATTTGTGTTTGTGTGTGTGTGTGTGTGTGTGTGTGTGTGGTGTGTGTGTGTGTGTGTGTGTGTGTGTGTGTGTGGCTACCTGTATAGTGTTCATGTTTGACAATGCCTCTTTTAGCATTGAGACCATGGGCCAAAACCCTTGCTTTCCTTGTGCTTACCATAGCCCTTCCAGCGGGTTAAACACTTGTTCATCACCTCTCCACCCAGAGTGCACTGTAACAGAATTCAAACTGATTCCCGTCAGATTTCCACAGACAGATACTTTACCCATTGTCTACGAATCCATCCTATCTGAGTCTTTTTAAGTATGTTCAAGGTATTCGAACCCATCCTATCTGAGTCTCACAAGTATGTTCACGGTATCGGTTAAAAAGCGTGTATGAGAAAAAGCATCTGGCTCTAGCCAGTTCATTGCTTTTGTTACTGCCATCACCTCCATCGCCCATGCAGACCGTCTCCATCTGGCGGGCTTTGCTGCTGACGTCACCAAACCGGGCTAACGATATGTTGTTTTCACTCTGACAATCACCCCGTCACCCCCCCACCCCCCACCCCACCCCACCCCCACCCCACCCCACCCCACCCCAAATCTAGGAATAAGCTTGAGAATGAAACAAAACTATAGTTATACACAATATGACACTGCATCTCTATCGGCAGATTTCTCCAGAATAAAAGCTTGAACTGTTGTCTCCACCACTGACCAGTTTAGTTGCCTCCACCACTGACCAGTTTAGTTGTCTCCACCACTGACCAGTTTAGTTGTCTCCACCACTGACCAGTTTAGTTGTCTGCAGTCTTTGTCCAGTTTGATGGAAAACGATGTACATCACTCTGTTGGCACTAGTACTAGTTCCACACTGTTGTGTGCTCAACTCTCTTTGCTGTTTAATTGTACCAGAGGTCAGAAGCATGATCACCTACGCTGTTCGTAAAGGTGATAGATGATGATGATGATGGGCACATAGGTCAATGCAAAAAGTCCACCCTATTTGACGTGTGAAGCAAACGTCCCCCCCCCCCCCCCACCCCCAGATTAACAATTAATAGCGGTCCCCACTGGGAATGTGGGACCGAGGTGTGACCGGCCGGAGAACGTGAATCATAAGTGTTGGCGAGAAAGTAAGATCCACGTGCAACCACGGGTGGGAACAGTCTCGCGGTAGTTTGAATCAGACAGTTGCTTTCAGTTCTGTTTTCTCCCCGTGTGGGTTCCGGGGCCCTATTATAGGAAAAACAAGAATTGACCCACTGCCTCCCTAAATGCATGTCGTAAGAGTCGACTAATTGGGAGCTTTCTTCGAAGTCGGAGTGCATCTGCCTGAGAGGCAAGGAGCCAACAGTCTGCATTCAAATTAGTCAGATCTGTCAAACGGATTCACTCGTGACACTCAGGTTCTGGAACAGGACTGCAGTCCAGCAGTGGACGAACAACCAGAACTTTCCGCCGGAGTTTACAGCCGGTGAACAAGAAGAAGAAGAAGAAGTTCTGTTTTCCAGTGGTTAATTGGACTGTTTTAACCAAGCCCATCTTCAGGCTATTTATATCTAGAGTTGGCCGTGGTTTTAACAATGTTCCATTGTGTGGAAATCCCGCGAACCGTCTGGGATGATTGTGGTGTATCGTAAGTTGGACTTTTGGGAATTATGTCCATAATGTCTAGAATGGATTTGTGTTGGCCATAGGTTGTGGGGTCGAAAATGTTGCGGCTATGGGGCACGTGGTTGACGGGTTTCTGTAAGGGCACGGAAGGTAGCGTGGACCTTGTTTGTTAACAAGATCCAGAGAACGCTAACTACTGGAGAGCTATGAAGCGATGTTTACCCTTCTGCACGGAGCACGTCTTTCTCCACCTTTCCTAGCATGCATTGTTGTAAGGCTGTTACAAATCCGACAGATGTGTATGCTGGTTTTCAAGCCAGCGAAAAGCTGGTATGACTGCCTTCACCTCCACGTCAAACCGGATGGTGTACTATCATATCCTCTGTTTACTAGGCGACATATATTCGTTTTGGGCAATCAACTCGCATGTACTTTTGTGTGTGTTGTTGTTGTAAACTTTCAACATAGAGCCATCTGTACAGATAATTAGATCACATGCAAGACTCGTATCAATTGTCATCTCTTTGTGGGATGTAATTGTTATTTATTTTGAAGACCCACCCTGGCTTTGGTCGGGGGCCCTCAATATAGCCGGACCTTACATATGTCTAACGTCTGAACAGGGTTTATGAGACGTCTCCATCGATAATCCTCAATCACATAGTATCACTTTGTGTCACCGGGTGTTTATCGCTTGTGTGATGTCCTGGTGGCGTACAACTTACCTGCCAGATCACCTGGGCACAAGCTGTCGTGAATCAGCTGTTGAAATTATGATACGAAGCAGACTACAAAAGATACTAATTGACATCATAATACATTCACACCTGCACCTGTCTTGTTTTCAACACCTGCACCTGTCTGGTTTTCAACACTTTGTGCATTTATTTCGGACGATGAAGACCAAAGAATATACTCTAACAGACCCTCTCTACACACACACACAATGACAACACAAACTGATCATTGCGGTGTGGTCACCATTTAATATGACATTAAGTAATGAAGATTATGTGTGCTAGGTGTGTTGATGGTAGAGCAAACTTCAGACCTCAACCTCACACACTTAAACTCAGAAAGTCGGCATGGACATTTGACTTAGTAGTATTAAACAATTCACTCGAAGCACGCACACAACATTGACTATCTGACTGGAAGAAAAGAAAAAATACATATTCCCATGAAATAAAGGAAGTCCTTGACAGTCATTGCCACCGCCATGAAATAGAAAGTTCTGGTTGTTTCTCTTGTTCCCTTGCCTCATAGATCGTTATGCCCAGGCTGTGCACAGTCTTGCTGGTCGGCCTCGGCCTCGCCCCCTAGGATCTCGTCATCCCTAGACTGTTCAGTCCAGTTCACTGTGAGACTTCATGTGGCCAAAGTATTCCAGTAACTCCGGCATGATGCCCCATTTTCGCCAGTTACCGTTGATGTTTAGAGCATGTGAAGTAGCAGTATTGTTCTCTTTTCTCGTCCGAGAATGTATAAATAATGTCCGAGAATGTATAAATAATGTCCGAGAATGTATAAATAATGTCCGAGAATGTATAAATAATGTCCGAGAATGTATAAATAATGTCCGAGAATGTATAAATAATGTCCGAGAATGTATAAATAATGTCCGAGAATGTATAAATAATGTCCGAGAATGTATAAATAATATGTGGGTAACATCTAATTTTGTAAGCGTCAACTTTGCTCATTCCTATTTGTACAATGTTCACTATTTACATCCGCATGTTGCCACACAAAAGATACGCCTTCTAAAAATGTTAAATGTAAGTGTTATTCTGTGGTAATATTAAGTCTCTACATCGATATCACCAGAAAACTCCTGTCGTCTCTTACCATTGACCACTGTTATTGAACACGCAGCCAAGGAATTCATAGTGGACAATTGTAAATCAATTCATGATTACGTTCTAGCGCGCGCGCGCGTGTGTGTGTGTGTGTGTGTGTGTGTGTGTGTGTGTGTGTGTGCTTTAGTTTACCGGCGCCTTCTGACCGGCCTTTGCCTTCTATCACGTGGGTCTATTACGCAGTACACCCAATGAATAGTCACACACATCGAAGCCAATGAAAAATGTTTAGTGCAAGACAGTCTAGCATATGACACCACAACATCTAGCATGAGAATGGAGGTGGAGGCGGTAAATGCAGCTCTCCGGTGGCTAGAGAACAAGATGCATAAACGTGTCGTAATTGTAACAGACACTGGAAGTATTCTGAAAAAGGTGAAGACAGGGATGCTTGGAGCAGAGTGGCTAGCTTCACTTGAAAAGTCACGGGTAATGAGCATACTTTGGATCTTTTCTCAAGGCCATGCCAGCGTGGTGGTTAATAACAAGGCAGACAGATTGGCCGGATCTGCACTACTGGGAGGTGAATTGATACATGACAAAGAAGATGTTGTCAAGGCTCTTTGGGAACAAGCAACGGAATCTGTAGAGAAAGAAGATTATTATGGCATGAAGAGAATGAGGCACATGGGTGTAACCATGGAGATAGTGAGGCACCTGGGTGTAACCAGAGAGTCCGACCGGCTGACTACAGTCAGAGGAAAGGCAAGACGGACATTTAACCAGATTGTGACCGGTACCATCAGTACTGGAACTCCGTGCTGAGGACTGGGCATGTATGGGAATGCCCCGAGTGCTGCGATGTCAATTCTTGACTCAACTCAACACATCTAAGCATGCAGGAATCGCTGGGACAAATTGCTCAGACATTACTGGTCATAAGTCAACTTTCGTCTGGCCAAGATGTGAAATCAGTACCTCAAAGTTAAGCCACGCACACATACACTATCATTCACTGAGTTATTTCCCGAAGACATACATTTCAGTGTCATGATAGCAAACTATCAGAATGTGGTCATTCTGTGTGAACTCGACTGAATTAATTACAGCTTTGAATAGCCAGAGAGATGCCAAAAAATCTGGCATGCTTGAGAACTTCACGTGAACAATCCTGCAGCTCGCTATGGGCGCTTTAGGAAACTACAGCCTGTACAGTTAAAGTTACTTGGCATCACACAAGCACATACTCCCGCTGATCAAAACAGATGACCTTTTACAGAAAACCCAACTTACAAATCTAGGCAATTATTGTATGTCGTCTGGTGTATGGAAAGCATATCTAGCCAAGTGTCTAGGGGTAAACTGATAATCATTCATAATCTATATATATGTATGTATGTATATATATATATATATATATATATATATATATATATATATATATATATATATATACACACACACACAAAAGTTCCCAAGTCGCCATCCGATGACTTATTGGGTTCCCTACCGGAGAGTGCTTAGATAACACAGTTACACACAGTCACATCGTTCTCACAAAACAGATATCCGTGTCAACAACAAAAGGGTAAAAGTCATCGCTATAATCGTCCATCAGTCTCTTTATTGACGAACACACGATGAAGATGAATTGGTGATTAGCACACGACTGTCTGTATAATACCCCCAGATGCCCATTGGTATAATTCCCAGGCGGTGACACCTCAAAGGGCGACATCTAGCTTCGACTTGACGTGAGTCGACAACATCAGACACCTTTGGCCTACGGACCCCGTCCTGAGGTCACCAGAAGCCTTCACTAAATGCCTCGGTTATATGCCCCCACTTTGGGTCGCCAATAACCTATACATAATAATTGGCTAGAGGCTGTGCCAACGTCACTACGCCTCCATGACATGCAGTCGCAGTCAGAAATCCTACCACATAACTGACCCTGCCCCCGGCACACCAAGTCTCCCCGCAAGTCAGAACCCGACAAGTAACGATCACATCCTTGTAACAATAAAATAATACAAATGATTGCTACCAAAAGTCACACACGTGCGAACTCTCTCACAGACTGAGGGGCACTGACTGGACACCGGCCAGCCTGTAGCTCAGCGGCCAGTCACGCTTGGACTTGCAATACCCATGGTGTCGCTGTCTCCCGCTAACCTCGAGAAACACTCATCCAACAATTTAAAGTCGTGTGGACCTTTTGCACTCGCCTCTGCCATCATCATCATCTAGCACGTTTATGACTGGCGTAGGCGATCACGCCACAGATCTCTCGTACAGTTGAACAACAAAGTAAGTTTAACATACAACAGCCAGTGGAGTCACAACAACACACGAATCCTAACAGTTTTGTGGTCAGTATGGTTGATAGACAAATCTGTGCAGTTCTCACAGGCTGGATTTGTGGCGAGGATAATTCTGGATGTTTTGACTGATCAAAATTGTCATCAAGAAATTGTCTACCCCCTTTTTTATCCAGAATTGTAAACATGAAAATCTTTTTCGTTTCACCAAGCCGAATGTGCAAAAAAAAAAAAAAAATCTGAACTGGCTTGGCAGATAGGAATTGTGAGTCGGTGCAGTCCTACAGTTCCGACTGACCCGAATGGATAAGGCTTGTAGCTCTAGCAAACTTGCCACTGGTGCTAAAGGTGGCCTTTCTGTAGAACTGACAGCTGGGAAGCGCTGGTTGCCGGGGTGACCGGCACAATATAGAGCGGAAGCTGAGTCGGAAGTTCTGGCTAAAGATGCCGTAGAGAACCGGGTTGGCGGCAGAGTTCATGTAGGCCAGAACACTCACCAGGACCTGTAGACAATGACAGGGTCAATCAGCAAGACTTCTGTGCACTTTTGTGAGAACAGTTACCTTGCTTACACGTGACTCATTGCTACTAACCCCTACTGTATCAACCATCGTTCATTGTAATACTCTCTATGCAAGTAGTTTCCTTGGTTAGACACATTACAGAATTTCTCTAACTTCTCCTATCTCGAACACTCATTATTTTTTGGCCACTCTACCCACTTGCTCGATTATAGCCATTCCAGCCACATTTAGTTACTTTTTCCAGTCCACTCACAGTTTGTTAGTTTCCCCACATTTATGTCTGCTAGCCACTCCACTCACATTTTGCTACTTTCCCCACATTTATGTCTGCTAGCCCTTTCCACTCACAGTTTGTTACTTCACCCACATTTATGTCTGCTAGCCACTCCACTCACAGTTTGTTAGTTTCCCCACATTTATGTCTGCTAGCCACTCCACTCACAGTTTGTTACTTTCCCCACATTTATGTCTGCTAGCCACTCCACTCACAGTTTGTTACTTTCCCCACATTTATGTCTGCTAGCCCCTCCACTCACAGTTTGTTAGTTTCCCCACATTTATGTCTGCTAGTCACTCCACTCCCAGTTTGTTACTTTCCCCACATTTATTTCTGCTAGCCACTCCACTCACAGTTTGTTACTTTCCCCACATTTATATCTGCTAGCCACTCCACTCACAGTTTGTTACTTTCCCCACATTTATGTCTGCTAGCCACTCCACTCACAGTTTGTTATTTTCCCCACATTTATGTCTGCTAGCCACCCCACTCACAGTTTGTTACTTCCCCCACATTTATGTCTGCTAGCCACTCCACTCACAGTTTGTTACTTTCCCCACATTTATGTCTGCTAGCCACTCCACTCACATTCGGTTACACGCCCCTTATTTTTAGTGCGGACTAAACACAAATGTTGACAACGATGGTCCTGAAATCCCATATTATAATTGTGGATGACGTTTCTTAACGCAGACAGGTCTTGCTAGTCACACTCACCATCACCACGGACTGTGAGTCCCATGCCTCCCCACAGAACAATATAGCACTACCATATGGTAAGATGGAAAGCTACCAATTAGTTTTTCACACAGTTAATCCATCAGTGGTTGTCATCTTCTAGCATACGAGCTGACTGCGTACAAGCTGACTGCATACGAGCTGACTGCGTACAAGCTGACTGCAAACAGCTCTGCTGTTTGTCCATCTGTCTAAGAACATGCAGGACCCAAACCTATTCTCTCCCACCCCCTCTCACTTCAACAGAAAACGTATCCAAGCGTGTACTAACATTCAGGGTCCATGTGGTATGAAACTCCTCTGGCCAGAAGGTCATGTAGACTAGAAGTGCGTGGTGGGGAAAGTAGCTCAGCAGATACACAAGGACACTCAGCATCAACATTTTCACTACTCCTCGCCTGGCCAGCAGCGCGTCGCTGGCACTTTCCCTGTTTGAGGACAACAAAACAGTTTTATCATCACACGGCATCACATCTCGCATTTTGAACGGGTAATGTTTCTGACCTCATTCCGAGATTCCAGATGGCAACTGAAGAATGATTATGTTGACAACAAGATACACACGTCTGAGCAGGTGTAGTCTTAGCCAGTCCTCACATGTTATGCTGGCTGATATCTAAAACACATCAGGGAACAGTTAGTGCATGAGGACCAATTATACGCACTTAAGGTTTGCAGATGACATCAAAGGGTTGGCCGGGAAAGAACAACATCTAGTCAAACGTGAAAACCTGTTCAATGAAACCACCAAGTACTGCATGGAAATAAACGTGAAAACCTGCTCGATGAAACCACCAAGTACTGCATGGAAATAAACGTGAAAACCTGCTTGATGAAACGACCAAGTACTGCATGGAAATAAACGTGAAAACCTGCTTGATGAAATGACCAAATACGGCACGGAAATAAACGTGAAAACCTGCTTGATGAAACGACCAATACGGCATGGAAATAAACGCGAAAAAGACAAATGTAACAACTAATAATGCAGCTGGCATAACTACACTAATGTACGTCAAAGTTCAGGAATTAGAAGGCGTCAATCATTTCAAATATTTAGGATCCATTGTCAGTAACCTAGGATCCAGACCAAAAATCATGTCTAGGATTCCCCAGTGTGGGTTCCATTATGGGGAAAACAAGAATAGACCCACTGCCTCACCAAAAGCATGTCGTAAGAGTCAACTAATTTAAGAGAATGAGATCTGTAAAACTGATGCACATGCAACACTCAGGTTCTGGAGCAGGACTGCAGTTCAGTAGTGGACGAGCAACCAGAACTTTCCGCCAGAGTTTACAGCTGGTGAACGCCAAGAAGAAGAAGAAGAAGATGTCTAGGATTGCCCAGACAACATCAATCCTTGCTTGAAGGCAAATATGTAAATTCAATAAATCATTTCATTTTAAACTAAGCTTCGACTGCTCAGAGCACTATCTATTTGTATATTTACACATGACTGTGAACGTAAACCTTAACAACTGAACTCGACAGGAAGTTACAAGCATTGGAAGTGAGATCTTTTAGAAAAATGTCTTGGCATGACGTACAGAGACCACATCACAAATGACGAGTTTAGCAGTAAAATGTCTTGGCATGACATACAGAGACCACATCACAAATGACGAGTTTAGTAGTAAAATGTCTTGGCATGACATACAGAGACCACATCACAAATGACGAGTGTCGCAGTGAAATGTCTTGGCATGACGTACAGAGACCACATCACAAATGACGAGTTTCGCAGTAAAATGACCCACCACACTGGCAGTTATGAAACTCTTTTAACTACAATGAAAAGGCTGAAAATACAATGGTAGGAACATATACTACGATCTAGGCCTCTCAAGAATCAAACTACAGAGTTCACTAGAAGGGAAGAGGGGAAAAGGCAGACCAAGAACACACAGCTGGATTGGCTGGACAGTCCTCGGACAGGCAACCATTAACTCCGTCGCATCTGAACGTCAAAGTTTGGGGGGGGGGAGGGGGGGGGCGGGGGAGCTGATCAGACAGACGGTCAACAGTACATGGTGACCCAACAACACACAGTGCTAGGGGATGATGATGTGCATCTTATTTTTCTTCAGCATTCCGAACCCTTGAGGTTCATTACTGCAGATATCACCCGCCTCTATTCATCTCTTTGGTTGACCTTCTTCAGCATTCCGAACCCTTGAGGTTCATTACTGCAGATATCACCCGCCTTCACTAATCTCTCTAGCCGGCCTTCTCTTCCCAGTTGGTGACCCCAAGTGTTTGCAGGTCCTGTCTGGACGCTATCTCTCCATCGTACTCGTGGTTTGCCTCCTGGTCTATGACTATTCAGCACCCCTGCGTATACAGTTTTTACTTCTGTCATCTGACATTCTTTTAATATACCCAAGCCATTTCAGTCTGTTAGCTCTCAGGATGATGACCACAATGAATTGTTTCTGCATCTCCTTGGATGAGACGTCACACCAACGGTAGGGTAGTGCATTGGACGTCTCGTCTCCTCAGACATCGCACTACACGGATACTCTTCATTTGTCAATCGTGAGGCGAGACTGCGTAACTTAAGGATATATATATGTGCAGAAAAAGGTAATCTTTAACAAAACTCAACAATAACATTTAAAAAAACTAAAAAAGTAAGCAATGTCAGTCACAGCTACACACATACACACGTTCGCGCACTCACACACACACACACACACACACACACAGAGAGAGAGAGAGAGAGAGAGAGAGAGAGAGAGCGAGAGATACAGATAGAGAGGGACGCATATAAAAACACATATACACGCATACACAAACACACCATGCTAAGGAAAACACAGATGTGAGCATAGGCTGGAGAGCAAACCGCCTCACAGGCAATAGTTGTATCAGAGCCCATGAACACGCTTCAGTAAATAGCAACAGGTGGTATGCGCAGTCAGGAGCAGTCAGACATTAACATTTAACTAATGGCAAAACAAGTATGATTAATAAACACAGAATAGACCTGGTCCGTCGTTTTACTCTTGTGAAGCTACTAAGGAGAAGATCGGAGCATCTATAGATCTGTTCGGAGTGCTGTGATGATAGTATTCTCTAATCACACATCACAAAAACACACGAGCGCGACAACGAATCAGTCTATGTTGAATCCAACACTGTAAGTGTTCATGTCAGAAGAAAGATGTCTATCTCAAATACTATGTTCATGCCAACCCGGGCCTAGGTTAAATGTAAGAAGATGTTAGCGTTACCTGCGCAGTTTGCTGGAGCCGTGAAAGAGCTGCCTGGAGACCTGGCCGTAGAGCAGCACTTGGACCATCAGGGGCAGCACGTAGAAGATGGCCAGTTCCGTGTACTTAAACATTAGGAAGTAGGTCAGTGGGTCATGGGGGAAGTGCATGTGGCAAAACTTCACCTGGGGATAGACAACTGTAGACTTAGCCACAGTTTTAACAACAAGGATAACATTTAGTTATCTATTTATTTTAATTCTTTTCGCTCTTTCCCCTCATCTTGTCCCTGTTCCTCCTTATCACAAAGGTCACTTTTATTATGAATCCAGGATCTTCAGTCCAGTCTTACATTAACTCTTTTCTAAGACCAGACAAATAAAGATTAAAAAAAAAGATCTCTTATCTACGATCTTAACAATGGAGACGGACGGGGGAAAATGAGGAAAAACGGAGGGGGGGGGGGGGGGGGTACTAGGGGTTACTTTAGGGGGCGGCGGTGGAAATTTTCAACATTTTAAAAATAGATAACAATTTTCAAATAAAATTCTCAAAAAAGTATACTCAAGGACATTGAGTCGAACGCTGACACAAACATATATAGTGATTCCCAATCACACATACTCACGCACGCACGCACGCACACACACGAACACAGACTGTTACTGACATTCTATATAGCTCTGGTATGCCACCCACCTTGACATCCCCAGCACTGTTCTGCATTTCATTAAACAGAAGAGTGGGAGTGCCAGCTACCACAGCCACCGGCCAGATGACGGAGACGGTCACTGCAATCCGGGTTCTGCTACACAGGATGTGAGCTCGCATCGGGTGCACGATCCCGATGTATCTGCGAAACAACCATATGCAGTAGTACATATTGCCTAGGGGAAAAACTTTGACTGCATTTATAGTCAATCTGTGGAAATCGATAATTGGCTATGCAATTCACCCGGGAAATTGTTAACTTAGTAACGGCATAAAGATTCTAGATCACAGCCTAAAACAAGTGCAAGAATTTAAATACTTGGGAAGTATCTTTAGATTCAATGTTAAAATAGACAGAGAGATCGAAGCAAGAATCCAACAAGCCAACAATGTCGCATACCAGCTTGCCCCAATTTTAAAACACCCTGCTGTCCCAGCTGAGATAAAAAGACAAATTATAAATACAATCTTTATACCGACATTAGGTTATCAATGTCAGACTTGGACATTAACAAAAGAACACGAGAGAAGACTAACCACCAGTGAAATGAGATGTTTGAGAATGGCTGCGAATAAAACCAGAAGAGATCGAATGAGAAACGATGTGATTACAAGAACTATTGGAACCATACCCATCGTTAAATTGATTGAGAAGCAAAGAATGAAATGGTTTGGTCACCTAATGAGAATGGAACCAACGATGCCAGCATCAAGAGCATACAACATGAAAATCGAAACACCAAGAGGCAGGGGAAGACCAAGAAGAATATGGATTGAAGGAGTCACGGACAACTTGAGACTTCATAACATCACGGCATATGAAATGACTAAGCGCGCCCTGGCTCGGTTGCCGATCATCTGATAGACTGCGACGCCTAGCGGCACAAGCAGATTTTTGGCAAAAGAAGAAGAAGTAACGGCAACATATAAAGACATGATATGTAGATTTCAATAGGAGGCAAAACTAACAGATAAATTTGGAATAACAACAGGCGCGAGACAGGGATTTCTGTTGTTAGCTCTACATGAGTTTCACTGGCAATAGACCAGATTATGAGGAAGGCAACAGTAACACTAACAGTGCGATTCAATAGAGGCCAATAGAGAACTTGATCTTGACTTTGCTGATGACATTTGCCTCGTCTTTCAGGAAACCAGAAGCAAACGGTGCCAGACTTAGGCCTTTGAAGGCCCTAAGCTTTACGAAGCTTTGAGGCCTCTTCCTTAATTGTGTGTGTCTATATAAATACTTGAAATGATCTGAATTTGAATAGAAATATTTCGTTAGTTTTGAAATGTTTTTTTTCCTTTTTTTTGCCTTTCGTTTTTTAGCTCCTGCTTTCTCCTTTGTAAATGTTTTTGCAATTTTATGTTTATTTAAATTTTGTTTTAACGTTCTTTCTTTTTTTTTTCCTCTAGTGTAAGCGCTTTGCTTTCGTTCTTCCAAAAGAAGATCAAACTTAGGTCGTCGAACTCGGAGAGGGGAAGCAGTGCGACGAGGAATAGCAAATCGAACAGGAAGAATGGGCAACAGCGAACGAGCTAAACAGACAAGAAATGGCTCAAATACCGACCGAAGAAGCAACAGAGCTTCGTGCAGCCAGATTTGAGGATGCACGGTTGCGAGCATGACGATCGCGTTCTGCAGCTTCAGCTCTGCTTCGTTCTCAACAGCATGAACGCGACAGGCTGAGAGTGGTTGACAGAATTTAAAGAGAAACGAAAGATCAGCGTGCAACGCCTTAGAAGCAACAATCTTGACAGGAACTTTCAAAAGTAAAGATGTCTCCATTCCTCGCATTCCTATGCTTCCAACGGATATGCCATTTTATTTAAAAGATTGCAACGACTAGTTCGATCAGCGTTTGATATCACCATCAAAAAGCTTGGGCCAGTCTTTAGAATTGTGCGGATTTGATCTAGACACGGATTGGTTTTAGAGTCGGCAAACCAGACACTCTCTTTATCTGCGTAGACAAAGGAACAACAAAAAATATTGCATACCCACTATACTTTATAATAAAACATACTAGAAACGTGCGCTTTCTCCCACCCCCCCTTCCATTTAATTTAAAAGAGCCACAGCAACGCATAGCCGAGTACAGTTAGTATGAAATAAGAACACCAAATTCATTTGGGGGGGGGGGGGGGTAAAAATCGACACACTGTTGCCTAGCAAGCAGTTCCTTAAAGGTAACTAACTGGTGGTACTGGCGTGCACCTGTCCGTGCACCTGTCTGTGCACCTGTCTGTGCACCTGTCTGAGAAGCGAAGAACCAAAAGTCTGCAAACAGTTGAGCCATATCTGTAAAACAGATGTTCACCAAAAAACTGAAGTTCCGAAACAAGACCATACTCCAGAAGTGGCCAAACCACGAAAACTTTCCGATTTAGTTCACAGTCGGAGCACACTAAGGATAAAATGACCAAACCGCAGTGCACGCAATCACATTGATAGCATCAGATTGACGATACTAGTGGCAGTAAACATTTGTAGAAATGCAGCTGTCGATAGAGATGATCTTTTCAGTGAAGTTGAGCAGAAACCCCAGGGACAGACAACTTCTTATAGACGTAGAAATCAATACGATATAATGATCAACAAACTTTACTGGCTTTACATTTGTCAGGTTAACGGACTCCAAAGTATAGCCAGCATGCAATCATCGCTGCCCCACTGTCTTCTTGTCTGTTCGTCGATTGCTCTATCTCTCTCTCTCTCTCTCTCTCTCTCTCTCTCTCTCTCTCTCTCTCTCTCTCTCTCTCTCTCTCTCTATCGCTCTCTCTCTCTTTCTCTCTCTCTTTGTCTGCGTGTGTGTGTTCCTTTTTTTACAACTATCTCGTGACTGTGAATTGCTTTCTAAAGTTTATCTTGATTTTTTTCCACTCTGAAACACTCGTAGATTAGTTACACGAAAGTCCCCCCAGAGACCGCCCATATACACACTAGCTCACTTCTGATTGGTAGACCTTGAGTCACCCGACATTCGCTCACTGCTACGGGGGTGTTCGACAATGCCGATGATATCACCTGTTGTATATTGAAGCACACCAGCGCTTTTAACACTACACAAACATTTAGAAACTGGGCCTAACACACAACCTCTCCCTAGAGAGTGCTGCAACCTACGTCACAGGCATTCTCTTTCTCGGAAGAAAAACAAAAATGCAAGACAAGCTAGAATGCAAACAACATAGCGCACACACGTAACCCCCCCCCCCCACCCACCCCCCACCCCCCGTACAGCAGACCAGTCCAAAAAAGTTATCAATGGAACGTGACCTAGTTTGTTTGGGGAGACGAACGTGGAACTAAACCACTCGTATTATGATTGCCACGTCGACCTCTGACCTCTACTAACCTCTCCACACAAATGGACACCAAGGTCATCACCGAAGCATAGAGGGCCACCACCAGCACGAAGCGGTTGGTCTTGCACAGCAGCCAGCTGAGCACCCAGCCCTTGTTCATCATGAACTGCACGATTTCGGGAATTCCCTGCAGCATGATGATCTGGGGATGAGATCGCGTGTCAGTAAATAACAAGACATGCTCATCTGAGGACAGCAACAGGATGAGATCACGTGTCAGTAAAAACAAAACAGGCTTATCTGAAGATAGAATAGAATATCATATCATTTGTAAGTAAATGACAAGATAGGATAATTTGTTTATAAATAACAAGATATAAATAACCTGTAAGAAAATAACAAGATATGAGCACCTGTAAGTAAATAACGAGACATGATCAAACGTCAGTTAATAACAACATGTCATAATGCGTAAGTAAATAACAAGATATAATCACCTGTCACTAAATAGCAGGATATGATCATCTGTACGTAAATAACAAGATATAATCACCTTTCAGGAAAAAAAGGATATCACCTGTCAATAAATAAGAAAATGTGATCACCTATGTGTGTAAATAAATAAATAAATCTGGTAACCTTTGGGTAAATAACGATTTGACAATATTTATGGGATATCTTGAATGGGAAGGGCATGTTAAAGAATATGTGTGCAGATGTATGAATGTGTGTGTTTCTAATTGTGTGTAAGTGTACGTGCGAACGTGTGCGTGTGTTTGCGCGCGAGCGCGCTCAAATAATGGTACATAAATTATAATTAGGAAGAAGAGATCACAGGACAGATATGAAAATGGCAGATATGCCAATTCTAGGACGGGTTATAGCCATATACGATATTAGTGGCGTTTAGATAAATCATTGAATAACTCCACAGGAAGTCATAGCAGTATTTACCTAACGATTTTCTCATCATTTGCCAAATGTCAACAGGATTTCATGTTTATTTCTTTGTATGACATGCATCGGATATTTAGAATTGCATTTGTCTCATCACTTTAGGCTTTCTTGAGTTCTACTAAGTCGCCCCAGTCTATTGTATATTAATAATATACTGTGATTTCAAAGAACGCGCAAATATAATAGGACAGTTCCCCTGCTTTTAGTTGTTTCTAAAATTGTGTGTCGTTCTTCATTTTTTCTGTGACGATTCGTTGTGTTATTTACAAGATCTCAAACACTGAGGTATACTGGAAACAACAGGCATCACAAAATTGTTCTTAATGCTGAGCCTACGAAGTTTCGAGTGGCTGCAACACACTTGAAGAATAGAGGACGGTAGAGTCTTTAAGGGCATTCTCTATAGTGAATTGCAGATGTCACATTCGGATTTTACTATGCTGATAAAGATTTGTGCCAGCGGAACATGAATGATACAGTGTTGAGACAGATTCCTTAGGGTCCAATTGCTGCAGACCTTGTTTCCTAGAAAAGGAAAATCGGGAAGGGAAAAATACGTCTAAAGGAAAAACACGATAGCAGATTTACTGAGAATTGAGCATCTGAGGAGAAGCATACTACACACATGTGGTGACAACACAGGTCTTGAAATCACTTGCTCTAATTGTGAAAGGCGATTCTTAACGTTGGCAGGCCTTGTTAAAAACATTAACCATCGCCACGGGTTCTTACTCCCATATCTACCATTATAGATATAGATGTGGTACTAAAGGTAGGACAGACAATACAGATGTGGTACTAAAGGTAGGACAGAGAATATAGATGTGGTACTAAAGGTAAGACAGACAATATAGATGTGGTACTAAAGGTAAGACAGACAATACAGATGTGGTACTAAAGGTAGGACAGACAATACAGATGTGGTACTAAAGGTAGGAAAGACAATACAGATGTGGTACTAAAGGTAGGACAGAGAATACAGATGTGGTACTAAAGGTAGGACAGACAATACAGATGTGGTACTAAAGGTAGGACAAACAATATAGATGTGGTACTAAACGTAAGACAGACAATACAGATGTGGTACTAAAGCTAGGACAGAGAATATAGATGTGGTACTAAAGGTAGGACAGAGAATATAGATGTGGTACTAAAGGTAGGATAGACAAAACTGATGTTGAACTAAAGGTAGGACAGACAATATAGATGTGGTACTAACGGTAGGACAGACAAAACAGATTTTGTACTAAAGGTAGGACAGACAATATAAATGTGGTACTAAAGGTAAGACAGACAAAACAGATTTTGTACTAAAGGTAGGACAGACAATATAAATGTGATACTAAAGGTAAGACAGACAATACAGATGTGGTACTAAAGGTAGGACAGACAATATAGATGTAGCGCTAAAGGTAGAATAGACAATACAGATGTGGTACTAAATGTAGGACAGACAATACAGATGTGGTACTAAAGGTAGGACAGAGAATATAGATGTGGTACTAAAGGTAGGACAGACAAAACAGATTTTGTACTAAAGGTAGGACAGACAATATAAATGTGATACTAAAGGTAAGACAGACAATACAGATGTGGTACTGAAGCTAGGACAGACAATATAGATGTGGTACTAAAGGTAAGACAGACAATAAGATCTGTCACATATGTCATCAGGCTGCTCCTTAGCATCCCCCCCCCACCCACCCCTCCCATTTTTTTCGTAGAAAAAAGATGAGTATCTCTGAAACTCACGGTCTGTGCAGATATTCCTTTTATATCGAATACACCTCAATGAGAGAAAATGTGAGTATTTACGCAGTGCACACCGTGCATCAAATCGAATCTCTTTAAGCTGGAGGCGGGCGTGGTTCAAGTGCGCACACCCAGCCACACACGGGTATACCTAACCGATCAACTGCCCACACCCAGCCACACACGGGTATACCTAACCGATCAACTGCCCACACCCAGCCACACACGGGTATACCTAACCGATCAACTGCCTACACCCAGCCACACACGGGTATACCTAACCGATCAACTGCCCACACCCAGCCACACACGGGTATACCTAACCGATCAACTGCACACACCCAGCCACACACGGGTATATCTAACTGATCAACTGTGCACACCCAGCCACACACGGTTATACCTAACCGATCAACTGTGTACACCCAGCCACACACGGGTATACCTAACCGATTAACTGCACACACCCAGCCACACACGGGTATACCTAACCGATTAACTGCACACACCCAGCCACACACGGGTATACCTAACCGATTAACTGCACACACCCAGCCACACACGGTTATACCTAACCGATTAACTGTGTACACCCAGCCACACACGGTTATACCTAACCGATCAACTGTGCACAACCAGCCACACACGGGTATACCTAACCGATCAACTGTGTACACCCAGCCACACACGGGTATACCTAACCGATCAACTGTGTACACCCAGCCACACACGGTTATACCTAACCGATCAACTGTGCACGCCCAGCCACAGATGGTTATACCTAACCGATCAACTGTGTACACCCAGCCACACACGGTTATACCTAACCGATCAACTGTGTACACCCAGCCACACACGGGTATACCTAACCGATCAACTGTGTACACCCAGCCACACACGGGTATACCTAACCGATCAACTGTGTACACCCAGCCACACACGGGTATACCTAACCGATCAACTGTGCACGCCCAGCCACACACAAAACTGACTGAGGAATGAAAGTTGCCAGCTGAGACAGCCAGCCATCTTCGGGATACCTAAAATAGCAGCAGGGGCAACAACGTCAGCAAAGTTACTTCCCCTATAATAAGACAAGTGATAAAAATATTCTGTATACAAGACACAGGGGACAGGGAACATTCTTCACTGACTTTGTACTGCCATCTGATATTGCTATTTTATAGTTAATTCCCGAGACATTTGACGTAGGAGATTTATCTAGAGTTATCTCTTGGCAAGAAGAACAGTAATGTTGTACCCTCTAGTAATGTTGTAGCTTGTAGTAATGTTGTAACTTGTAATGTTGTAGCTCGTTGTAATGGTGTGGCTTGTCGTAATGTTGTAGCTTGTGGTAATGCTGTAGCTTATGGTAATGTTGTAGCTTGCGGTAATTGCATGGCTTGTTGTAACGTTGTAGCTTGTGGTAAAGTTGTAGCTTGTGGTAATGTTGTAGCTTGTGGTAATGTTGTAGCTTGTGGAAATGGTGTGCCTTGTGGTAATGTTGTAGCTTGTGGTAATGTTGTCGCTTGTGGTAATGGTGTGGCTTGTGGTAATGTTGCAGCTTGTGGTAATGGTGTGGCTTGTTGTAACGTTGTAGATTGTGGTAATGCTGTAGCTTGTGGTAATATTGTGGCTTGTTGTAACATTGTAGCTTGTGTGGCTTGTGGTAATTGTGTGGCTTGTGGTAATGTTGTAGCTTGTAGTAATGTTATAGCTTGTGGTAATGGTGTGCCTTGTGGTAATGTTGTAGCTTGTGGTAATGTTGTCGCTTGTGGTAATGGTGTGCCTTGTGGTAATTTTGTAGCTTATGGTAATGGGGTGGCTTGTGGTAATGTTGTAGCTTGTGATAATGGTGTGGCTTGTTGTAACGCGTAGCTTGTGGTAATTTTGTAGCTTGTGATAATGGTGTGGCTTGTTGTAACGTTGTAGCTTGTGGTAATGTTGTAGCTTGTGGTAATGGTGTGGCTTGTTGTAACGTTGTAGCTTGTGGTAATGTTGTAGCTTGTGATAATGGTGTGGCTTGTTGTAACGCGTAGCTTGTGGTAATGGTGTGGCTTGTTGTAACGCGTAGCTTGTGGTAATGTTGTAGCTTGTGGTAATGTTGTAGCTTGTGGCAATGGGGTGGCTAGTGGTAATGTTGTAGCGTGTGGTAATGGTGTGGCTTGTGGTAATGATGTGGCTTGTGGTAATCGTGTTTCTTGTGATAATGTTAAAGCTTTTTGTAATGTTGGAGCTTGTGGTAATTTTGAGGCTTGTTGTAACGTTGTAGCTTGTGGTAATGTTGTAGCTTGTGGTAATGTTGTAGCTTGTGGTAATGGTGTGGCTTGTGGTAAAGTTGTAGCGTGTGGTAATGGTGTGGATTGTGGTAATGTTGTAGCTTGCGGTAATGTTGTGGCTTGTGGTAATGTTGTAGCTTGTGGTAATGGTGTGGCTTGTGGTAATGTTGTAGCTTGTGGTAATGGTGTGGCTTGTGGTAATGTTGTGGCTTGTGGTAATGTTGTAGCTTGTGGTAATGGTGTGGCTTGTGGTAAAGTTGTAGCGTGTGGTAATGGTGTGGATTGTGGTAATTTTGTAGCTTGCGGTAATGTTGTTGCTTGTGGTAATGTTGTGGCTTCTAGTAATGTGGTAGCTTGTAGACAGGAAACAACTATAATAAACCATCACACCCCGGGTAGACAGGAAACAACTATAATAAACTAATATACTCCAGGTAGACGCGGAACCATTCAGCACAGTGGTAATATACAATTACACGCCGGGTTGATAGAAAACAACTAAACAATATCATACTATACCATTACGCATCAGGTAGATAGGAAGCCCCTAAACAGAGCCTTAATATACCATCACACGCCGGGTAGATGGGAAACCACCAAACACAACTACAATAAACTTGTACACGCAAGTCTCTAATGGGACAGCTGACGACACACCGACTATTTGTGTCACTGATACAGCCGGGCCGACTTCTAAACATATTTAGCTTTCAAATAGGCGAATAGCCGATCTGAAAAAAAAAAAACATAGCTGGGAACGTATAATTGTTTAAGCTAGCCTAGACTATGTATACAAGACAGTACTCACCAGCTAGACTAGACAATGTATACAAGCCAGTATTCACCAGCTAGACTAGACTATGTATACAAGCCAGTACTCACTAGCTAGACTAAACAATGCACCCACGCCAGTACTCACCAGCTAGACTAGACTAAGTATACAAGCCAGTAATTACCAGCTAGGCCAGACTATGTATACAAGCCAGTACTCACTAGCTAGACTAGACTATGTATACAAGCCAGTACTCACCAGCTAGACTAAACAATGCACCCACGCCAGTACTCACCAGCTAGACTAGACAATGTATACAAGCCAGTAATTACCAGCTAGGCCAGACTATGTATACAAGCCAGTACTCACTAGCTAGACTAGACTATGTATACAAGCCAGTACTCACCAGCTAGACTAGACTATGTAAACAAGCCAGTACTCACCAGCTAGACTAGACTATGTAAAAAAGCCAGTACTCACCAGCTGGCCTAGACTATGTAAAAAAGCCAGTACTCACCAGCTAGACTAGACTATGTAAAAAAGCAAGTACTCACCGGCTAGACTAGACTATTTAAAAAGCCAGTACTCACCGGCTAGCCTAGACTATGTAAACAAGTCAGTACACACCAGCTAGACTAGATTCGGTAAACAAGGAAGTATTCACCAGCTAGACTAAACAATGCTCCCACCCCAGTACTCATTAGCTAGACTAGACTATGTATACAAGCCAGTAATCACCAGCTAGACTAGACTATGTATACAAGCCAGTAATCACCAGCTAGACTAGACTTTGTATACAAGCCAGTAATCACCAGCTAGACTAGACTATGTATACAAGGCAGTAATCACCAGGTAGACTAAACAATGCTTCCACCCCAGTACTCATTAGCTAGACTAGACTATGTATACACGCCAGTAACCACCAGCTAGACTAGACTATGTATACAAGCCAGTAATCACCAGCTAGACTAGACTATGTATACGAGCCAGTAATCACCAGCTAGACAAGACTATGTAAACAAGCCAGTAATCACCAGCTAGACTAGACTATGTATACAAGGCAGTAATCACCAGCTAGACTAGACTATGCATAAAAGCCAATACTCACCAGCTAGACTAAACAATGCACCCACCCCAGTACTCATTAGCTAGACTAAACATTACACCCAAGCCAGTACTCATTAGCTAGACTAGACAATGCACACAGGCCAGTACTCACTAGCTAGACTAGACTATGTATACAAGCCAGTACTCATTAGCTAGACTAGACAAAGCACACAGGCCAGTACTCACCAACTAGACTAGACAATGCACACAGGCCAGTACTCACCAACTAGACTAGACAATGCACACAGGCCAGTACTCACCAGCTAGACTAGACAATGTATACAAGCCAGTACTCACCAACTAGACCAGACAATGCACACAGGCCAGTACTCACCAGATCTGCCAAGGCCAAGTTGCTGATGAGCAGGTTGGTGATGGACGACCTCATCTTCTGGTCACGGACCACCACGTAGACGACAAGGAAGTTACCGACGATGCCGACAAGTCCCACCAGAAAGAAGATGGCGCTGAAGATGACAATTTCTGCCACACTGGCCACGTCAGCGAGCACCGTCATGTTATTGTCTGTTTGATGAAGACCGTTTGCTACTGTCGTCATTGGGTCACTGAAAGGGTCAGAGTTCACGAGAGGAGTTCGACTTTCACTTGGCATTTGTGCTTCTAATGACGTGATCACCGAATGGATGGACGGACGGAGTGCTGGCTATCTTCTAGGTTGTGCAGAACTCTGCGTGTCACGGAAGATATCAAGGCAGTGAAACAAGAATGTGAATAAACTGACAAGTTTAGCTTAATTAACAATAAAACTATGGAATAATGTTTTCGGTCAATGTTTCCATATCATCAGACAAAGGATGTGTTGCCTCTTGTTGTCCATGTTGTATGGCGATGATAGTCATATCTTTGCGCAGCCTTTTTTCTGTCTCGTGTCATCAGGCTGTCCAAGTCATTCAAGTATCAGCCCGCTGGAGAATTGTCCCATTGACTTTCATACTCTGCATTATGGAGGGTCCGCTGTTTTAAACAAAATCGACAATACAGTGAACTTAGTACACGAAATTACTGAGTGAAACTGCATTTCTGCTGTGTTTAGGTAATGGCACACCGCACTGACACCTATTTTCCAAAAAGACGTCAGCAGTAAATGTAAGCTTTTGACGTGGGAAAGGAAGGCACAGGTACAAATCTGGTGCTGTCACAGTAGATCAACACAGTAATTTAATCTGACCTCTAGCCTATTTCAGTTCTCTATATGTGAGTGAAAAGTAATGTATGTAGATCAGTACCTATAATTCTTATGATATTTAGCTGACTTAAGTTGAAACGTTTGTCTCGTCATCATCATCATAATTATCATCATCATTATTATCATAGTCCAAGATTATCACTTTCAGATGCAGCAAACATGTTGCCTATTTCAGGAGTGCCAGATTTTGTACGCTAGCTTTTCTTGGTGTGTGTCCTTCCTCCTCGTCTCAGCTGCAGAGCCCTTTAGTCATGTTTTGCAGACGTCAATTGATGTTAGAAATCAGCACAACGGCATCTTCTGTTGTGTCACTGTTGTTGAAAAGAGACTCATAGTTGCCAATGTGTTGTTGGACAACAGCATCACTTCGTATGCGGTGATGTGGAAATGAGATGAGATTTTATATATACATATCACATTGCGATGTCAAAGTGAAGTATAATTTACGGGAAAGCGCCTGTTTGTGGGCTTCGTAAATAGGGATTACCAAAGACTCTGTTATTTACTCTGTCCATTGCTATTATGGTAGGCCTCTTCTTCGTCTTCCGCCTAGTCTGTACATCATTGCTGGCTGTGGTATACTGTTTGTTGGCGTCTGCATAGATCTACACTATAACAAATCCATGATGGCGATGGTTGCAACAAATAAACGCGCGAAATTTATGTTTCAGATGTTAAGAATTTGATGTGCATACCTCCCCAACACTCTTCTGTTGTCATCTTTCCTTCTATAAATTATTTCATGCATATATTTCTTTTTCAGTTTATTTTATACAACAGAAACAACAGCAATCACATGTGTATAAAAAGCATAAGAAAAGTGCACAGTGCAAAGAATCAAACAAGGACTCCGAACAAGACAAACGAGCTGTTGAACAATTTGTTGTACGTGGGTGCACTTCAGCAGATTGCTGGGTTGAAGACATGGAGATTCATCAGCTAAAAAGACCTGTAAAATGCCGCCTGGGTGCAGCGGCCTTTAGAGCCTGGCAAATAATCATTAATCAAGTGCCCGCATTTTTATGGATTAGAAAATCATGGGTGAACTGGATCCCGCAGGCTGTACCAGATCATCTCAATGTTCAATAACAGATTTTCTCTGCAAGAAAGCGTTCTCATTTTTGTTTAAACAAATATTAAATCTCAGATGCAGTAGGAATATCCTTCTCCAACTCATTATTTCTTCCCCCTACCACCTCTATTGTTTCTGCTGCCCCTCTTTTTTTTTTTTTCTCTAGCTATTCACTTGTGGCTGCATTTCATTTCGTCTTTTTCTTTACACTGAATTTTCTAGCTATAGTTTAATACTGGATTGCAAACCTCCACCCCCTCATCCCGATCCCTCAATGTTTTCATCGCAGGCTGAAGAAACAACCCCCCCCCCACCCCACCCCTCACTCCCCCTTATTGTCCAAACACTGCCGTCCATACCAGTATTGACCAGTTTAGCCTGTTTACAACTGAGAGTCACATCGGTCAGACAGGGTAGAGCCTCAAGCCACTTCCTCATGGCGGTGTTGACTTTTGTCTCCATAATCTCTACTGCACTCATGCTTACCTCTTACACAATCAGCGGCCAGAGGAGCTTGGGAACCAACAAGAACTGGATACGCCTCACGTTGAACTTTCTGATCAGCCTGCATTGCTGATAGCAGACAGGCCCGTTGCCAACGATGTAAACGCTGGATTTCCGCCCTGAGAGACCTTGGAATAATGGACGCGGCCGAGACTCTTCAATGGTTTCTCTGAAACCGTGGAGGTTTTTTTTCCCCTTGTTTCCGCCACTTCACCCTTTATGATGGATAGACTCCAGGACATCTAAGGCTTTGATTGCATGTTGCACCGTTCAGCCACGCGATCCAACCTCTCTAGAATAAGGAGGGCATGATCTTTACTGCCCGTTATAAATGTCGTATTATCCATATACGCTCTCAGTGGCGGCATCCAGTGGTCCCGCAATTTGAAGGCCCTGACCGACGCCGGAAGCCCCATCTAACATGACCTACATGGCCATAACGAACAGTTTTGCCGATGTCGCACATCGCACTGCTACCCCAGCCTAGAGCTCAGTCCATCTAAACGTGAGGGTAGAGAAGCGTGTGGCTAGCTTTGAGAAATATTGCTCGATCATTTCAGTATATGTGTCGGTACGTGGAACATGCGAAAGGCCAGCCACAGTAGCTTATGCGGTACGTCCAAATATGCGTTGTCGAGGTTCAACCATGTCACGTGCAACTTGGTTCTCTCTGCCGTAGCTCTCTGGATAGACTCCTAGATCATGGTCACATACTCTGGACAA